TGTCGAATGATGACCTTCTCTTCTGTATATTTACGAAGGACCCAATCGTGAATTGTTGTCGAGCTATGAGGCAGCCATTCATTGATGGCTGGATTTAAATAGTGAAGCATGCTATATATATATTAATAAAAGCCTTAAATCATGAAAGGTAATACTACTTACGTGCGGAACTCGGGGATTGAAACCATTCGGAATGCAATTCCACATGCTACTATCCAGCGCACATAGAGATCTTCAAGAACACGTGGATCTAAAGGCCTAACAGCAGTGACATCGTTGAGTCTACGGCGTTTATGATTGATTGTGTGTGGCCTGGCAAAGGCTACAGCTATTGTGGATTGATATCCATCAATGCGTTGCTCTTGTGGTGTTTTCAAGTCAATGGAATGGCGCTCCTTTAAGTGCTTGATGATGATATTAGTGCCCCCACCAACAGTATACTCCTTAGAACAGAACTTGCAACACCAGGACTCCTTGCCGTAGATATTGAAGGTTATTTCATAACGTCCTACTTTTGTAAAGTCCCATATCGGTGATGTGCGTAGCTTAGCTACCTTTGACGTAGTACGGGAGGTAGATTGGGACGGAATAGAGCAGCCAATAGTTGATGAGGTTGTAGTATCCTGTTCAAACTGATTAAATTGTTCACTTTCGATAGTAGATACAACATCAGAAGGTTCAGAAGCCATGATGTAGGCTGAATCATAAGACGTAAGGATAAAATGCAGAGTTTTCACGACGACCTGAAAATTGTGAAAGGATCACGTGAAATACTTAAGTATTGCCAGTATAATACTGAAGTATGGCCAGCAATACTTAAGTATAATACTAGCGGCGAAGAGGTGTTATGATACGGGTCGTATGAATACTTAAGTATAATACGGGCCCGTATACGAGAGCCTCCCGTATACGGGCAATACTACTGAAAACACTGCAGACAAGTTGCAACAAATGTTGAGTCTGGGAACTCAGGGGTAAGTCAGAGGTTAACACCTCACTGACTTTTCAGAAACAAGGAGTAACAAGATCAATGCTTGAAAGCTTGGAAAAGACGTGGAAGTATGTAATAGTCGATTTACTGTATTGTCTGCTTGCCCTTTCTTAAGGAAAGGGCAATCCTATTTATGCTAAAGGAATGTAGTTCTCTCATTTTCCAAGACTTTCCATGACTTACCAGGCTTGGTAACTGTAGTCGATGTAAGAGAATCCCATAGAACCATCTCTTAGGTTCGTAGCCTATAGGAAGTAAAAGGAGGTCCAAGGTCAGAGTACCCCTATAGACAAATTATGTCATAGACAAATTATGTCATAGACAAATTATGTCATAACTTAACCAATCATGTGGGTAACTAAAGAGCGATGACATGTAATGAATCATAGAGGTTCGTAGGAGCTTTTAGAGCCATCGTTCATGCTCCTAGGCCTCTAGTTGGTAGAGATATGCCATGTGGTAGTATGAGTGATGTCATGTAATGAATCATAGAGGGTTGTAGAGATATGCTATGTGGTAATATCGGCCCAGTAACTAAGGAGCGATGACGTGTAATGAATCATAGATGGTTGTAGCAATCGTTGAGTAGTATTGCTCTTGTTGTTGGTGTGATAAGCCAAAATATGTATAGTGACTTGTAGGTTTGAGGAGGAGATTTCCAATGTTATCCATCATGTGAGGTTGCAGCCGTAAGCGCTAGCCATAGCACTAGCACTTAGCTGTAACACAGAGCAGCTAATGTAACCTCCTATGCTATAGGCTCTAGCTATAGCTATAGGACTGCCCTAAAGCAGGACATAAGACTCCTTATTACAGTAGAGCAGGGTGCTCTACTCTAGCGACCTAAACCCTTCGCACTACGCTAGGAACTTAGCACTAAAATCACTAGCCTCACCCTAGCCTTAGTCCTAACTATCACCCCTATACATTGTAAGGATACCTTCTCGTCTCTCATTCTAGGGAGTAGACTCTGGGTAGCTGCGGGGTCACGTGTGATCATTTGGGTGGGCTAACCGAGTCGGAACTGAGTCGGATGGGTTTCGGGTACTTGAGACAATCGACTCACGGGGTTCCCCCATCATCTTTTTTGTATCCTTCGTAGTAGGCCTATAGGATAGCATCCGTTTAGCCTCCGACTCGCACTCTCATATGCTATTACTGTGAGCTGGGTGCCCTGTGTCCTTAACACTAACCAAAACCCAGAATACCTTAAGTCTATAAACGACAAGAAAACTTCAGCAGATGAGTCTAAGAAGAGAGATGAACTTTAAGATGATTTCCTTAGAGCTTAAGAAGATTTCAAGAGAATGGGCAAAACAGCTAAAGAAAGACGCTAGTCTGTGCTATCAAACGGTTACTAAACGAAGACATGGAATGTAGACACCTACATCAAGTTCTAACAGCTGTTACTAAATGGCTAGGAATATGCTTAGTCGATGTTGAAGGCTATTATGAAGGACTACTTTATGCTTTATGCTAGCATCTACATTCCTTAGTAGTATATAGGCCGCTAGCATCTGGGGGAGTGGCCATTTTATAGAAGTCGAAAGCGGCGGCAGGCACGTGCACGCGCGTTCCCCGATTAGGGCTCGAACACCACGATCTCTAAGTTATTATAAGAAGTAAAATGGGAAGTAACCGATCGTAAAACACTATATAGCCTAAGAAAGCCATAGCTTCCGCCAGCGCTATAGGGGCTCTAGGTTAACGCGACATAGTCCCGGAGGATACCTACTCTATATTTTCGCAAACTAGCAGTCGGGGTCTAGGTCAAACACCCCTACACTCCCTTCAAAGACACTATACTTTGTTCAAAGACACCTATTTCTAATTTTCCTACTATGTTACCACCTGCTACCAAGCTACAGAGCTGCAACTCCGTAGCAAGGCCGTAGGGCACACTACACACCACACTCGCAGTGGCTCATAACATCAGACCAACTGGTCCTGCATACACCCCCTTTCGGGAGAAGCTCTTAAGGCACCGCCCTCTACTAGCAAACCTAACACCATCCCAACTGGCGGGGAAGGCGCTTAGTCAACGGGCCTTACAGCCACGCAAACACGCAAGAACTGCTCTCTAGGTCATATTCTGTACATAAACCTATAGCTTAGCACGTCCCCATACCCTTCGGGAGGTCTTAGGGACGCGGGTTACACCCGCATCCCGCTAGACGTAAATAAATATCATCATCATCATCATCATCATGCTTTTATAAGGCGTCTTAGGAAGAAAAGAATATGATCTAACCTGTTACAATGATAAAACGCCCAAACCTTCTTTAGTGCGATCTGTGTTATCCGATAAGATTAGATCTTGCGATCCAGGAACAAGGAACGGGAAACCACGTTGTGGCTATAATTTTGGTCACTATATTACCAATAAACCAAGAAACTAATGCCCTGACTCATCTAGATATTAATCCTTCTATTTTTTTTATATTATCCATTATATTACAGTATTATCAAGCCATCCAAAAATAAATATAGTATCACGTGTCGAGTGTGGGAGAATTGATTCGCGTGGGTCGTTTCGTATCAACCTTGCAAGGTCTTGGATATCCTTCTCTACCCACCCCCCTCGACTCCTCTGCAACCGCAGCAACTCGACACCACTGAACCATCCTTGGGGTCGATATAAACAGGCACCATAATGCCTCACTCTACAGCGACGACCGTGAAATCGAAGTCGAAAGCCAACGGCAATGCTGTCGCGAAGACTGCTAAGGGGAACGGGGAGAAGGCCGCGTCAACACCCAAAGATAACGAGAATTATGAGCATTTCTTCTGGACATACACCGAAGAACCGCACCGAACGCGGAGAATGGCTATTATCAAAGCCCATCCAGAGGTACGGGCACTCAATTGATCCTCCCCCTCCTGCATCCACTAACAGCCCCCCCAGGTCACCAAACTCTGCGGTCCAGAGCCCCGAACCAAATACATTGTCACCTGCGTCGTCGCCCTCCAAATCACCTGCGCCTACCTCCTGCGCAACACCCCCTTCTTCTCGTGGAAGTTCTTCCTAACCGCCTACATCATCGGCGCGACCGCAAACCAGAACTGCTTCCTCGCCATCCACGAAATCAGCCACAACCTCGCCTTCCGCTCCCCGCTCGCCAACCGCCTCTTCGCCATCTTCGCAAACATCCCCATCGGCATCCCCTACTCCGCCTCCTTCCGCCCCTACCACCTCACGCACCACAAGTCGCTCGGCGTCGATGGGCTGGATACCGATATGCCCACCGCTTTCGAGGCTGTGTTTCTGGATTCTATCCTGGGGAAGGCGTTCTTCTGCACGTTTCAGATCCTGTTTTATGCGCTGCGCCCGATGATGATATACCAGATCCCGTTGACGAATATCCACTTCCTCAATATCGCCGTGCAGGTCGCTTTTGATATCGGTCTCGTCAAGTACGCTAGCGGTAACGCCCTCCTCTACTTCATCCTCTCCAGTTTCCTGGCGGGGAGCCTGCACCCCCTCGCCGGCCACTTCATCGCCGAGCACTACGTCTTCGCGCACCTCTCCCGCGAGGCTCGGGACCCACGCACCAAGCTCGACACCCCCGTGCCAGAGACGTACTCGTACTACGGCCCCCTGAACTTCTTCACCTGGAACGTAGGGCTACACAATGAGCACCATGATTTCCCCGCCGTGCCGTGGAGTCGGCTGCCGGCTGTGTATGAGATCGCTAAGGAGTTCTATGAGGATCTGCCGAGGCATGAGAGCTGGGTGTATGTTATTTGGCAGTTTATTTGGGATAAAGAGGTGGGGATGAGCTGTAGGGTTAAGAGGAAGGAGGGGGGGAGGAAGGTTGGGGGTGGGGCTGTGGCGGCGGCGTGGACGGAGCAGGAGATTCAGGCTTGATGAGATATAATACGAAGTGTATATGGCCGTGGCTATTTACGGGGTTAAGTGTACTTGTACGATCATTTTCACTGTAAAACTAGAGTTAGTTGCATACGCCGTACGTTAATTCACAAGATAAAAGTTTCAAGTATTATCAGGCAATGACTCGTATTAGAATTATGGAATCATGATCATGAATCCCCCCTCCTCGTAAAGAACCTAAAAAAAAGATGCTGTGGTGGTCGAAAGAACTATAAAAGGAATTTGGAGCCGGTAGAAAACACGAAGCTCATGCAGGGCATTCAACGTACTGTGGACGCATTACCAGTACCCTAGCCACCGCGCTCGCTCGCCATCTTGTACGTAGGGGCCTTAAAAGTGCATAATAGGAAAAAGAGAGAGCCGATTTTGTGTTCTCATCACGGTAGTAGTGATTTCTGCCAAAAGCACGCCCTGTGTGGGTGTAATGGACATGACATGACGTCCCTCTTCGCAGCCTCAGCTTTTTATATCCCAAGTCGTCACGCCGAAAGAAGCACGTAGGGGTCTGTCTGAGCGCGTATAGGTTTCGAAAATGCTACAATCCATCCCTCCATCGTCACATCGCCCCGGAGCTCCTCGATACGTGGTCTGGATCGCCAGGTACGCGTTGGGGTATATTCAGTCTAGAAGAAGAAGTAGGCGATCAGGAAGGTGAGGAGACAGAGCGCGGCGGTGATGTGAACGGGGACTCCCTCTTGCGACGTAGTTCTGATAGCCGCCTGTGCTGCTGGGACGACTTCGTCGACGCCTAGGGCGTTGCCGGCCTTGCGTAATCTCAAGCCGCCCTCTTGGCCGTATGAGGCAATCGTGGCTTGTGCCTGCGACAGCTGGGCCTTGAGCTCCTCGACTGAGTTGGGAAGGGCGGAGGAGACGGCAGCTGGGATCGCCTTAATGTTCTCCTTGGCATTGGCCTTTGAAACGGCTGGCTCGGCGGTTTGCGGAGAGCTCTCGGCCCTGAGTTGTGAAGATTTGGAGTCAGAGACCGATCTGTTGCCGGTGGCTTCGGAGAGGGGTGCCGATCGTTGAGGCGTGGATTCTTCTTGGTATGGGGAGTGGTAAAGGGGAGCAGCCGCATTGGGAGTCGTATCGTTCTGGAAGGCCAGCAGTTAGAACTGTAGATTCGGTAGAAGGAGCCAGTAAAGGGGACTTACGAGACTGGTGTTCACACCGTTTCTAAGAGGCGTAGAAACAGCTGGTAGGTTCTGGCCGGCGCTCACCTCCGCAAGGAAGACGACTCTAATCTTCTTCTCCTGGATCGACGACTTCTCTGCTTGATCGATTTGCTGCCACTGCGACTGGGTTAGGGGGCTTCTCCGACATGGTGGGACAAGACTGTCTTACGATCTGGGAAATGTTGGTAAACTCCTTATCAGCGGTGACTGCCACAGATTGCACAAGGAACTTGTCGCGGCATCTCGTATCGGCAGGTGGCTCGACTTTCATGGCCTGTAGGAGGACTTTGTACGACGGTTAGTGGACAGCGCATTTTCGGGTGCGCGGAGCGAGCTGAACAAACCTGAAACCTCGACTTCCTTTCCCGGCTCTATCCTGCCAGAGTTTGGTCTGACGCAGTACCTGTAGATGTTTGTTAGCATGACATGGCAGAAGTTGCGCGCTGGGGGGTGGTCGCATGGATCGCATACTGTTTTGGTGCCGTAGTCTTGACCTACAGATTAAATGCGTCAGTAATATACCTTGAAGCACCTAGATGGAGACAATACCTTGAATGCAATGGGAGTAAGGTTCGGGTTCCTGATCTTGAGGACTTGCGACACCTCCCTTGTGAAGGGGCCTAGAACTATCTTCAGTTATCCATCCTAAACTGTTGGGGGATCGAGCCACGTACGGTGGAAGCCGAGCTCTTGCGGATCGATTTCGACGGACATATTTGCGAGTTTCGTAGAGGCTGTAAGGTGTAGGCTGCGTTGAGTAATGCGGCGCGTTGAGTAATGCGGCGAGCAGAGGTTGAAGCTCCAAACTTTGGCTGGATAGCGTTGAGGTTGATTGATGTTTGGGAGTAGGTAGCTGAGGCGAGAAGTGGATCGGGGGTGGACGGGGGTGGAGGGGGCAAGATACAGGCGGGCGAGGGAGAGTTTTGTTGCTGAAGATGCTACTATATAGTATTGTAGGTGACCGCAATCAATAAAATGTACGAGGAGGAGGAAACTTGGAGAAGAAAAGGTGAGGAATAATTGATCGTGGGGAGGGCAGGCAGTAGTTGTGTTGGATTCTACGAGACTAAGAGGTCGGATCTCCGTAGTATTGTACGGTATTACGGCGGGTAATACACCCTTCCCCCAGATTTCTTACACATGACGTTACCCGGAGGCGAAAAACGTGTTTGCTCTGTATGCACATTTCCACCTTGGTGGGTTGTGGGATAGGATACAGCTATAATGATCGTTCTGCATCTTCCCAAACTTCACCAGTCACTCAAATAGATAAATAAATCTAGTCATCTTCAGGCTACGATATACAACTTCGATATTTTATTTCTCGATCCTTCTCTTATCTTCCTCCACAACACTACCCAACGCTACCCCGCTGAGCATCCACAACCATGGCATCGTCTGACCTCGATGTCCTCGTGGACATGGGTTTCGATAAGGAGAGGGCCGACATGGCAGTCAAGAAGACCGGTGGCCGTAAGTTTGTTTATATACACCCTTACCCTTGTCATAAAAAAACGCCATTCACTGACTTTCAACCAATAGTCCAAGGTGCTCTCCAGTGGCTGGAGGACAACCAGGACAAGTCGCTAGAGGACATTAAGGCCGCAGCTGCATCAAAGAAGGCCGATGCCGCCATCGAAGATGCGAACGAAGAGCCACCCGCACTGCAGGAGGGCGAGGTAGCGCGATCACTCATATGCAACGGATGTGAAAAGCGCTTCCGGAGCACAGCACAAGCCGAGTTCCATGCTTCGAAAACGTGCGTGAGCCTCCTTACCTTGCGATACCTCATTACAGCTTCACCCATTCCAACTTTACGATACTTTAACCTATCATACTAACACCCCCACCCAGTGAACACCAAGACTTCGCCGAATCAACCGAAGAAATCAAACCCCTCACCGAAGAAGAAAAAAAGGCCCGCCTCGATGAGCTCCGCACCGCCCTCGCGACAAAACGCGCCAAGCAATCCGCCATCGACAAAGAAGAAGCCAAGCGCAACGAGAAGATCCGCATGAAGTCCACTCGCGAGGTGCAGGACGCCAAGGAAGAACTCGCCAAGAAAGAGCAAATCAAAGAGGCCTCCGCAAAGCGCAAGGAGAAGCTCAATGACATCGCTGCCAAGAAGCGCATCCAGGAGAAGATCGCAGCTGACAAGGAGGAGCGGAGAATCAAAGCCGAGAAAGCGAAGGCGGAGAGGGAGGGAAGGGCGCCCCCTGTTGATCCTCCGGTTACGGCAGCACAGGCAGTGCCGGTGGTGAAGCAACCGACTGCGAATCACACGGAGGCAAGGCTGAGGCTGCAGACGGCGAAGGGGAATATACAGAAGACGTTTGCGGCTGAGACGACGCTGTTTGAGGTTGCGGAGGCGATCTTGGTGGAGAATGGGACGGCGGTGTCGAGCTTCACGCAGAACTTTCCGAAGAAGACATATACGACTGAAGACTTTGGGATGACGCTGAAGGAGGTGGGCCAGGTGCCGAGTGGGGTCTTGATTGTGAAATAAATTGGAACAAAATAGGTTCTATCAGAGGGCGGATTCAGATACGGTGGGCTGTAACCATGTCTTAAAAGAGAATGACTTGGAATGCCTCATGAATCAAACGAGAATGAAGAAAGATAATTATAGACACTTCAAACCCAGTGTGACTAGCTGGTTGTCATAAAGATGTATCTTCTGTGTTGTCTAATAATTTGCAATATGAGAAACGCTAGCAAAACAGCAGCCATAGTTGGGCACTTGGATATCTTTCCATTTTCTTCTCCACAAGGTCATTAGACATATCCGATCCCTTCCAAAAACGCCAGATTTGGCCCATCACAGCTTCATGCCGTTGAACACCCCCCCCAAACTCCTAACAACAAACCCCTGACTCACCTATCCACCCGCCTCAAGGACCACTCATCCTCTGCCTCTTAACCTCATGCCCCCCCCACCCCCCACCCCCCCATTCATCGGCACCTCCCCCAACGGCAACCTATCCCCTGCCCCTCCCACATCACCCGGCCTCTTCCCCACCATAGTAGGCGGTTTATAACTCCCCCTATTCCCCAACGGACTCGGGCTCCCCGGCGCCCCCACGCGCCTCGTCGCATCAAGCTGCGGATTCACCACATTGATATTACCCCTCACCGGCACCACAGCAGCCGTGCCCGGAGGTTGGTTGGGTGCCTGCTTAAAATTCCTATTCACGGGAATCGTTTTTGTATGATCGATACCGGGAGTCTTCCGGATGGAGGGGGACTCGGAGTGTGGGTTAAAAACCGCGGTTTTCGGAAGGACGGTGGAGGAGCCGTCGGGTGCTTGGCCGTCGGTGGGCAGCAGAGCGGCTTTCGCGGAGAAGAAACCGATGGGGGGGTTGCCGTCGGGAGGGGGGTGGAAGGGTTGGTTGGTTGGGTCGGAGTCGGGGTTTTGGGGTCTGGTGAAACTGGGGGATGCTGAGCCGTTTGGTGGGGGAGGGGGGGTTCGTTGTCTGTTTGGCTGGTTGAGCACTCGACCGTGTCCTGGGACGGCGCCTTGGGGGATGCCGGTTGGGTTCGCGGTTGGTGGCTGCGGCATGGCACGCCCGGCGCCTGAACTTGACCTTGACAAGCTGCCATTTGGTGTTTGGGGCTGTGATGGGTGTTGTGGACGTGGTTGTGGGGGACGAGCACCAGCCATCTGGGCATTGTTTTGAGGTTGCGGCCGAGATGGAGCTTGCATCTGCTGTGGTCGAGATTGAGGCTGTCTAGCCTGGTTCGGCACAGCATTGTTATGTGCAGACTGCCCAGCTGCTGTTAGACCAGGGCCATTAACTGGTCGACCAGGACTGTTGTGACGAGCCGCTGGCGGAGGCGCGTCTGGGAGCGCTATCTCGTCAGGATGGGAATCAGGATCGTACGCCGAAGTAAAGTCAGTCTCGTCGAATGCCCCATCATCAAACTCATCCTCAAATGACCCCCTAGCTGTCGGGCTTGAAATCGAATCCGGTTCCTGCTTGAAAACCGGGACGTCAGGCGCTGTTTCCTCTTTCTTCGTAGCATAAGTCCCATGCCTATAAAGGTTGTCGACTTCCCATTTGGTCGGCGCTACTTTCACTTTAGTCACCTTGGCCAGGTACTCCTTGTCGTAGATACAATTCCCCAGGACATTTCCAAAGTTCCTCAGCGCTCTTTTCATAGCATCTGTCGTGCCTTCCTTTTTCGCCTTCTCGAACGCGGCGGCTTTGCCCTTGCAGTTTTCGATATGCCCGTAGCCAATGTCCTCGTGGAATGTCCCATCTCGCAAGCTGACTCGGACGATGACGGAGAGGCCCAGGTTGACTTTGCCTGTGGTAGGGTTCTCGTCCAGGAAATCCACCTGGAGATCCTTGATTTGACTAGACCAGCCGTTGAAGCCAAAGACTTCGTTGGCAAGTTGGATGCATTTGTCTGCTGGGATATAGTGTAGCTTCTGGCCTCCTGGACCGGATCTGGATGATATGTATTCTGGGCCTAACTGCTTTTGTAACCTGCTTTGGAGACTGGCAATCTCTTGAGCTGTGTATTCGGATATATGTGATTTAACTTCTTCAAATGGATTCGCAGTATTATTCCCGCCATTGTGCTGGTCGCCTGGCCTGCAAGACATTAGGGATCAGCTAAATAAGATACAAGTCTCCAGGACTCACGCGGGCATATCGGCGACGGTAACTAGCAAGTGGGATATAGCAAATATATCGAGACCATTGATGTGAGATCGTCTGTGTCGTGGGTTATCTCCTAACTCTGGAATGGAGGCCTGTTGACATTGGGGTTACAAGTCGCGTTACGATTCCCCACTAGAGCTCCAGGTAGACACGAACCATATGCGCGGTCAGGTGATCATACGGACATTACTTGGCCTCTGGTTTGGGAAGTCCATTCTCAGATCACGATTCGACTTTATTCTAATTAATCATGTCGAATCCGAACACGCCCGCCGCCCCTCGAGGCGGGCTGTCGCTCTACGCAAATCTACTCGATCCCTCATCCTCATCCAACACGGCTGCCATCATATCCCGCGCGCCTGTCGCATTCAACACGGACAGTGGCGCCGCAGACGACGAAGCTTCAGCGAAGAAGCAACAGATCAATGCTGGTAGATATTGAACACCCCTCTAGGCATTCTAGCTTGTAGACCTTCAGAATTGCTCACGTTTGGTTGCTTTGCGAACGAATAGCCGCACTACGATTTCAGCCAACTAAGCGTCCGCAATTATCATCGCAGAAGGGAAAGCCAAAACCCGGATTCCCAAGGCCCTCTGCACCTGTCGATCCGGATTCCAACAAGCAGACTGCTGGCAGTACTGCCCCTCCGTCTAGACCCCCCGCGAAGAGCACATTGGCCGACTGGGCTGTGGCGGGGGAAGACGAAGATGTGAATGGATTCTATGGTGGCGGAGAGAAGCGACAACGCGGGGGACGCAAACGCCGGAAGAAGAACCGCGAGGAATACGCTGTTGCGCAGGACTGGGATGATATATACGACCCCTCACGGCCGAGTAGTTACGATGAATACAGACACAGCGATGAGCAGATCCGGGAGGTGATGGAGTGGAAGGATAGGCTTTATGCCCATCGGAAGAGTAGGAACTACTATAGTGATATTGAGAGTGATGAGGAACCTGCACGCCCAAGCATCAGCAGTAAGTATTCCTGTATTCAGTCGTGGATAGTCACTAATTGCGTACAGACCAATTCGCCCCTCCCCCGTCCTTTGCACCACCCCCGTCCTTCGCGCCTCCATCGAGTTACGCACCTCCCCCTCCACCACCAGACGGCGCACCCGAGTCAGCTCCAGGGAGATCATCACCCGCCTACTCCCCTCCACCACCACCGGAACCCCTCCCAGCAGCCGTCATATCCCGGGCCCCAGTCCGCTACAACCTCCCCCCCGCCCCCTCCGAAATCCCCGCCTCAGAAGCCGAACTCGCCCTTGCCCTCGGCGAAGGCGCCGACGAAGAGGAATCTTCTGGCGACCAGCCACGCTCGAGCCGCCCCGGCCAAGCCGGCTTCGCGCAAAGGTTAATGTCCAAGTACGGCTGGTCCAAGGGCAGTGGTCTTGGCGCCGATGAATCGGGGATCGTGAACGCGCTACACGTGCAAGTTCAGAAGCGGAAGAAGAAACCTGATTCCGAGGGCGGCGGGTTTGTGGATCCACAGGCTATCGGGAAGATAGTAGGGGGCAAGCGTAAGGCGGCTGCTGGGGAAGAGGGGGGGGGTTCGGCGCGATGTCCGAGGTGGTGGTGTTGGAGGGGATGGTGGATGGTATGGATTTAGACTCCGAAGTGGAGGGGGCGGGGGATGGAGGGATCATGCAAGAAATTGGGGAGGAGTGTGGAGAGAAGTATGGGAATGTGGAGAGGGTGTTTATTCACCGCCGAGAGGGGTGGAGGGGGACTGTGTTTGTAAAGTTTACGAGCCAGTTGAGTGGGTTGAGGGCGGTGAATGCGTTGGAGGGGAGGATGTTTAATGGGAATACTATAAGTGCGAGGTTTTACGACCCGGAGAAGTTTGAGGAGGGCATTTACGAATAGGTTATTCCATGTTTAGTCTAAGTAGTGGTTGTTTAGGCTGCTAAACCCAACAGCTTCTTACGCTGCTTAAGCCACTGTGATACCTTCTTCTAACACACCTGCCATGTGGACGCTAACCAAGTCTTTGGAGCTGCCACACTTAGTGGATGCTCATGGGGAAATTCAAAGGCTTTCGGATTGCCCTTCCATATTCATCTATCATGGCCGGAAGTATGGACCTTGTAGTGGTCGACTGAGGAGACATTCATGAATAGCACGGAGTAGCGAAGCCATTCTCCCCAGACAGTTATTTACAATTACGTGCTTATTATCCCCCTCGCGCTCTACAATTTCGCAGAGAGAAGCCGTTTCTAACGATTCACCAACTTAATTATGACGACCACTTGCGGAGGCCGAAGAGATTGGCATATTCTTAATATTGCACATGAGCTTGATGATGTTTCTTGTAAAATTCCTCCGGTCCCTCTCAGTTGGGTTGAAGTCGTCGGTCGAGACGTTCCCACCCATATTATACAGCACAAACCGAGCCATTGGATCGAGTAAATCGTTAATATTGAAATGGGACTCCTCAGAGGTAGGATCCCTCTGGTCATTAGGACGAGCCTCTTCTATCCTAAGTAGGCGTGCTTCCAGTTGTGCTTGATGTTCGGCGCGAGTTTGTTCACCAATCAAGGATTGGTGTCCCCATCTATCTCTGAGCATCTGGACGATTTCGTCTAAAGAAGGAACGAGCCTCGCGGTGTCCGTGACACGGTTACCCCCACGGATCCAAAGCCCCACTTGTTCTGCTTGAAGTAACCGTCCTAACATGCGTTGCTGAGTAGTGGCATAGTAGACTGCCATGAGAGAAGACGTTAGGATAAGTACAAAAGCTCCTCGAGCAACCCAATGGGTCTGGCTTAACGAATCTAATGATAATCCCGTAATAGCAATTTGGGCTACAATAGCTGCCTAATCGATGTCAGTGAAGTCCCAAGGGGTTAATGGATAGACAAACAGCTACTGAAATCATAGTGCATTCATCAAGGATCGATTTTTTGAAAGTCGTCGCATCCTCTTCTTTGAGTTGGCCCAGAACCTGGGCTTCTATTCGCCATGTAGCGCGGCTTCCAAAGAGAAAAAGGAATATGCTAGAAGGCCCGTATAACGTAAATAGATGAAGGATCGAATAGCAGACCTGGCGAGTAAATCAACGGTATCAAGCGTGAAGCTTGAGGAAAGGATCAAAGCTGAAAGTATATCGGCCATCCCGAGGTTTCATGGAAGTCGTTAACCGGTAGTTAGAATTACTATGAGTCGGGAGACTTCTAAGTATCGGAGGGACTGGAGGAACGGAAGCTGAAATATTATGCCCTGTCGCGGCGGCTATCGACAAAGTAGCTAAGCCAATCATTCCCTCCTGCACACTGCAATAGAACACGCCTTTCTCTCATGGAGTTTCAGCTCTAGCGTTATTTCTCTATAAAAAAATTATAAGTTTTGCTAGACGCTTAGGAGTCGCTGTCTTAGGCGCACTTCCGAGTACGACACCTCACCAAGCCACGCCCCTGTACGCTCGAGTATAGAACCCCTATAAACGTACGCTCCTCTAAGAACCAACAATCTACTTACATAGTAGCGTCGTGCCAAAAGGAATAGTTTGAATAGCACTCTCTCTTTAAGAGAGTCTCTTACTCATCTCACTATTTCCACACAAACAAATCACATGTTAAAGCCATCTATAACTTTAGAATTTGATTTTTTTTAACTTGTTGTCAAAACTTTTTATATATACAAACTTGTTCCCCTTAGCACATCACACACACACACAGATAATTTACCCCGCCCCAGCAGCAGCAGCAGCAGCAGCAGGCAAAACCAAAAGCGCTGCTGCTGCCGCTGCTGATATTTGTATCTCCACTCTCCGCATCTCGCTTCAAGCAGGAATCGACCAACAAATCCGCTGAGCCACCCCGTCCACCCGCTACATGCGAACTCATATGCTCTGAGTATCAACGCCAAAACGCTTTCCATCCATAGTCTGCCCAAAATAGGCCCTTCCCCGCCACGCCGTATGTGTATTGAATCTTCCCCATATCACCCCAAGATATCTACATGTGTCCCATCCATCCATCCTTCCCAGTACTGTTAAATCGCAGATCCTATCCTGCGGCCAAAAGTTCATATCGCCGATTTCCGCTGCGCCTCAGAGCGCGTCTTCACGAGGTAATTCATCACATACTCGTATGTTAACATCGTCGTCGTAGCAGCAGGGACAGCACGCATCATATTCGTGCCCATCCCCGCGTAAAACGCGCGCCACCCCTCTTCTCGCAGGATTGTCTTGGCGGTCGTCACGATGCCCTTGTAGCGGGGTAAAGCATTCTTCGCCACCGCAGCGTTCGACGGGCCCTCCGCAGTTAGGGGTTTGAAGGGTGCGTATTCGGTTGACGGGCCAGGTGCGAGTTTCCGCTGCGTCTGCAGCCTCGTCCGGATTACCTCATGCGGGTAGGTAGCGGAGCTAGCCATGATCTTGCTGAGGACGCTGGCGGAGAGGATGCCGATCCACTGGGACTTCTTCTCGCCGTCGTGGTGGACGCCCATTCCCTGGCCGGTGAATTTCTTCTTTAGGAACTCGTAGGCCGGGAACTGGACGGCGACGTGGGTGAGGCCGAGGAGGGCGGGGGTGAGGCCCGAGTAGAAGGAGAGGATGCCTTCGGTCTTGTACATCTTCCAGAAGGCGTCGAAGGTGTTGTTGTAGTGCCAGGGGGGGCGCGAGTCGTGGGATGATGAGGTCGCGCTCACCTGTGACATGAGGCGGGTCTTGACGACCCAGATGGGGTTTGTGCAGAGCGTTGAGCACGAACCCGCGATAATCGAGGACCAAAAATTAGTTACGAACTCTGAACCTATTTGCGACGGTTAGCTCGGATCCCCGCGGAACGACAAGAACACCCCCCGCCCCTCCCCCCCCAAAAAAACGAAAACCTGCACATACTATCTGTAGTCGAAATATACGTCTTCGCCTTCCCATACACCGTAAACCACACCGCCCAAGTCGGCAAATACCCCAAAATAATCGGCCCCAACCCTCTATACAACCCCCTTATTCCCTCCTCCGTCAGAATCACCTTCCCCGTCCCTAACATCCCATTATACACCGCCGCCTTCTGCGGGACCTTGAGCCTCGCCTGCGCCGCCCGGAACCCGCCCTGCGCTTGCAGTTTCGTCTTGATCACATCGAGCGGACACGTCACGATGCCGGACATGAAGCCGCCCGTCGCGCCCGCAAACGCATGGAACGCCGAGTCCGAGCGGTCCGTGATGAAGCGGTCCCACGCCGTGGCGGGGACACGGTCATCGTCGGCGGCGTCCCGGCGGGATGGCGTGGAGGCGCGGGGGAAGTGCTCGGGCAGCGGAGAGACGAAGGACTCGTGGGACCCGATCGGTGTCGGCGTGCTGCTGCGGTCGTGAGGCATGGTGGTGGATGAGGCAGCGGGGTGCGGCGCTGCGGGTGGAACGCGAGAGGCTGCTGGAGGAGATGGGCAGCTGGGCCTCGTCGTGGGCGAGGAGCGGTGGTTGGAGGAGGATGCCCTGTCTCGTGCCTCGGTGTGCGGGGAAGACTCCCACGCAGCACGCCTGTGACACGGAGATTAATGGTTGTCGCAGGCCATTGACGTGGGGAGCTGGATTGGGTATTTGGTTATGTTGGTATGCGGAGAGGGGGAGTTGGTCCCTTTTTGGTTGATAGGTGACGATATCAAAAATGTTGGGGGTGAGTGAGAGAGAGGGCTTTGTATGGTCGTTTCGGTGAAGCTGTCTCTCCGAGTTCCGTCGCTTGGTCTTGGTAGTTTGATGGGCGTGAAAATACCTTGTGTAGGTAGGAACCAAGTAATTTAGGAAACAAGTAGAAAACAAGTAGGAAACAAGTAGGAAACAAGTAGGAAACAAGTAGGAAACAAGTAGGAAACAAGTAGGAAACAGTCATGGATAAGGACGATTATCGGAGAATAACGGACGCCGATTGGCTACACCCACCAATTCTCGACTCCGTGGTATTACCGTAGTACATAACCCAAGTCCCCCCCATCCACAACCAAAGAAAATCCACGCTTACCCATATTAAGCCTAGATCCAAAATCCATCCCGAACCTTTCTTTCGCCTGTGTCATTGCCAATCCACGACGACGACGACGACGAAGACTGACGACGAGATCCCCCCCCACAGCGAAAGAACATCATTGACGACGACTGCCATCATGTCTCAACCATCCCTCGCGCCCTACGTGCTCAAGCGCCCCTTCCTCCAGCGCTTCCTCACCCCCTTCGCCAACTGGTACGCCAATGCCGCCGGCTACAGAAAGCTCGGGTTGAGGTAAGGTCCTCCCCAACCCCAATTGTCCCCGCCGGATGTCGTGGAGGGAGCATAAAATCTAACAGTCTGTGTTACAGAGCCGATGACCTCATCCCAGAGGAGTCCGACGTCGTTCTCCAGGCCATCAAGCGCCTCCCGCCCAAGGAGTCCTACGATCGCGTCTTCCGCCTCCGCCGCGCCTTCCAGGTACGCATACTCGCTGACCACACTTCAGTCGACGTAGGATATACTAACACCCCGCTGCAGTGCTCGCTCTCTCACCAGCTGTTGCCAAAGGAGCAGCAGACTCCCCCCGAGGAGGTACTTATGCGCCACCCCCCAACCGGGACGAAGAGGAGAAGGCTGACACATAACAGGATACCCCATACCTCTCGCCCATCATCCGCGAGATCGAGGCCGAGCTGAAGGAGCGCAATGATTTGGATTCGCTGGCTGTGAAGCGTCGTTAAGTGTGAGGAGAGGAGGGGTGTGTGTATAAAGGAATAGAGGGAGGGGGGAAATAGTGGATGTTTTGGATGGGGAGAGCCTGGCTTTGTGGGGGCCAGTGTTGTATTGTATCGGGTTGATCAGAGAGATTTGAAGCTATAGATGAATCAAACGATGTCGTTACAGAATGGATGCGGTGGTTTGGGGGGGGGGTGTGACTGGTTTGTGATGTTTGTAAGGTGTGTTGTCCGCCTCACATGACGCATTGATATTTGGGATCACGTCCTACGACCGAACAGTTGCCTTGTAAGAATGCCGGCCTTCAATGGAAATATAATATTTTTGTTACATCTCGACGACGATGCTTACGAATTCCAGCAATCTCATTGGCTTTAACCGCCAAGGAGACATTACCGATATTGTCTACAAATGCCACAAATGAGGCTCCAAATATTACCCTTCCAATTATCTCACATTCTCTCATCAGCATTCTCGTAATAAACATATCTACAGAGAACGAGCGCCGAGTAGAACCACCCGGCAAGTCTGTACAGGCTATGACCTCCCCACATCCCTAACGACAACACGCAGCAACAGCCACGCCGTCAACCTAGCATACCCGAGAAAGTGAGAGGAAAAAGACAGGCCTCGCGCTCTACCCCTCTAAAACAGCGCATCATCCATGAGGCCCTCCCGTCTCGTCCGTCAAACTGTTATACAAGCCAGCCAAGTAGAATGGCGACTTGAGTCCCCCATTCACATCCCATCCTCATCCTCATCCTCGAGCCCCATCTGGTACGGTAGACATTCCTTCGCCCCTGTCCACTTCCAGTAAAATCCACCAGCCAGCCAGAGCGTCAAGGCAATCGCCCAATCCGCCCATCAATATCATTCTTCATTCTTCATACAAACAGTTTTTTCCCCTATTCTGTACAAAAAAACCACCCATTATTCCGCCGCCGTCCCGGATTAAAATAAAATAAAAGAAGAAGAAAAAAAGGTATTAGCGCGGCTTCTCGTCCGTGTCGATGTGCCAGACGACGTAGTTGGGGAGGCCGACGACTTCGTATTTCGCGCGCTTGGCCATCTTTGCGAAGCCCTCCGTCTCGGCCTGGTTCTCGAAGGCGTAGCAGGGGAAGTTGATGCCTAGGGGGGAGTTAGGCCTCGTGCTTCTTGCCAAGTCTAAAGGGGAGGGGACGTACCAGACTTGTGGACGTCGGCTTTGACGACAATGTTGACGCCTCCAATGCCGTCGAGCTGCCACTCGACGTCCTTGTCTTCGCGATAGTCGCCTTCTGTCGTCATATACCGCCTGCCGGTATCATAATGTTCCTTGTAACCTGTCCCTACCATCAGCCTCATACCGCACACATAAGAAAGGACACCTCTCAAGCCTACCTTCCACAAGAATATCATCCTTCGCCAACTTCGCCGCCAGCTTCCTCCCCTTATCCGTCTCAATCCACGAATTATAATCAAACCTGCCCTCCACATCCACCATCTTCCCATCCACCTCCTTATACCGATGAAACCAGATATTCGGCACAATCACATCCTTATCATGCGCAATCAGGTCCTCCAAGACCTCCGGCGCGCTCTCCGCGATATCCGCGTCCCGCCAGTACACCCACGAGTGCTCCGGCTTCATCGTCGCATACAGCAGGTAGTTGCGCGCCCGCGCCATCGACTTCCGCCGCGGCGCCTGCGCCTTGAACCCGTGCCGGTTGTCGACGTCCATGCCCACGATCCCAGCGGCGCCGAAGTCCTTCTCGATGATCGTCACGCTGTTGAAAGATACGCTGTCCTGGCGCTTCTGGATGCGCTCGAGCTCGGCGGAGAGAACGGCGAGGGTGTCATCTGTGGAGTCGCCGACGAGGAAGCCCAGGTCGATGAGGTGGTGCGGGTAGGTGAGTTGGGAGATGAGGTCGAAGTATTTGCTGAGGTAGCGGGAGGCGTCGCGGAGGGGGGTGAGGAGGAGGACGCGCTCGCCGTTGGAGGCCGCGGTGGGGGTGGAGGTGAAGGTGTTCATGTCGATGCGTTGGATGCTGGATGAGTTGACAACGATGGGGGCGTGGTGGTTAAACAGCACCGGCGTCTGGAGATTGCGTGTCCACTCGCTGTACTCATTCGCCGACATATGCATGGGCGACTTGGACGGTCCCCAGCAGTAAAACCTATTCCCATATCATCAGCAAATATCCATATTTTTTTTTTCTCAAAAGGGGTCATAGTTGAAAGATTGCGCCATAACTTACCTCTGCATATCCGCCGCCGAAGCTCGAATACTCCTCCATGTCAAAAGCACAACCCCAAACAGCGCCACTCCAAGCAGAAACCTCGTCCTCGTAACGAAAACCCACACCGCGCGCGAGGGCGGGAAGCGGGAGCGCGCCGACTTCCACGTCGTCGCGCCGCCTTTAGGGAGGAGCATGGGATTGGAGAGCGGGTCGCCCGCGGCGAAACGAAGCAAGGGGGTGTCGTGGCTGAACGAGGGGTCCTTTTGATGCAAGGGGTGGGGTGTTTGTACGCCACGAGGGGCAGGCGTGTGATATCAAGAGTTGGAGTAACGACCGTTGGGGGGATTGGGAAATGAATTGATGACGAACTTTCTTGTGTGCTGTGCTGGGCGAGGCTGTCGTCACCCTTGAAGGAATGATGCCAAGCGCTCGATTTGATGAATTAATCCGAGACGAGGCTACTGTAGGGTGGGTGGCCTCGAGCTGGAGCTGGTGCAGCAGAAGAAGTACGTATTTCGTGGTATCGGTGGTGGTATCGGTGGTGGTATCGGTGGTGGTATCGGTGGTCGTATCGGTGGTGGTATCGGTGGTCGTATCGGTCATAAGCGAGAGGATGATAAAGCCATCTGAGAGATTTCTCTCGAGCTTCCAGATGAACAGTCTAGCGAATATATCTAATAAGTATGTAATGTATAGAACCACCGTTCGTCCAACGTTGTACAATACAGAAACAAATCTTCAACAACAACTGCTACTGTTGACCCGTCGCGCCTGCCACGTTTTTCTCAACAGGGTTCATTTCAAATCAGGCCCTTTCGTGTACTACATACTCGAGTACTCGCTCACGCAATCACGTGAACCCATCTCCCCACGTCACGTCGTCCTCAAGGTAATCACCCATGGCATCCCTCGCCGGCCATATCTCGAAGCTCAAAGCTAAGGGAAGATGGAAGTGGAAATACGGAGTTACATGTCTGATAAACCCTTTATAAATACCACATCCAGAAAGCATGTCAGGCATAACCACATAACACCTCAAAGGTCCGTATGTAGTTCCCAAAGTAGACCCCCCGAATGGGAGATGGGGTTTGATGGGATGGGGTGATGGGGGATGGGGTTGATGGGATGGGGTTGATGGGATGGGGTTGATGGGATGGGGTTGATGGGATGGGGTTGATGGGATGGGGTTGATGGGATGGGGTTGATGGGATGGGGTGATGGGAGATGGGAGATGGGGTGATGGTGATGGGAGATGGGGTGATGGTGGCGTCCTTGGATGACATCAGAGGCGATGCAGGCGTTTGTGTTTATTTTTATGTACCGAGTACGGGAGTATGCACTAGACAGACGACGTTAGCTGCGGGCACCATGGTGAGACCGTCCCCATCCATCTTGTTTCGCTATGGAGTCGAGTCGGCTTTGGTTGCGGATGCTTTTGGGGACAGGGGGGATGTACTGGCTGTGTACGGAGTAGTGTACACCTGAGTAGTGAGGTACGAGCACATGACTGGACGACGAGCACATGACTGGACGACGACGCTCGGCAGGGGTATGATTGTGGATATGACTGGACGACGTGGATGATTGTGGATGATTGTGGATGACTGTGGATGACTGGACGATGTGGATGATGACTGGATGATGACTGACGAAGCTTGTTTCTATTGTGTACGGTGTACGGTGTACGGTGTACGTATAATTCCGATAGTCCTGTACAACAGGTTTTTCCCCATTGTGTCCGTCTCCTGCTACTTGGTACTGTACCTCATCCTACCTCCATCGGTACCTGACTACACACCCCACCCGCTGCCAATTTCCTCGTACCTGAACCACCTTGTTGTGGTGTCTTGCTATGTCTTTGAGCCCTACCATTCCCAGTCCGTCGCTCTTTCCCTCCTGAGCCCTACCATTCCCAGTCCGTTAGTGCCTGTCCCTGTCTCCTTCTCCTCTCCCTTCTCCTCTCCCTTCTCCTCTCCCTACTCCTCTCCCTACTCCTCTCCCTTCTCCTCTCCCTTCTCCTCTCCCTCCCTTCTCTTCCTCTCCCTCTCCTTCTCTCCTTCCTTCCTTCCTTCCTTCCCTCCAAGCCAAATATTCCATCTGCAGCGACTTCGTCCGTCCTGCCACTTCCCTTTTTGATTGTGAGACTTGTTCACACGACATTCGTTTAACTACATATCGTCTTCAACTCTTCCTTCCAACAACTTCAATTCTTGGATCCGCCTTCTTCCAATTCACTCCATCCCGAGTTCATTTTCTTCGCTGTTGTACCCCACACACAGCCCATATACTTCCCCTAACGGATAGACAGAAGTAATCAACTTTCCATCAAAAGGTATTATTCCAGAACCTCCAGATCGAACTCGCAGATACCATCATCATCATCATCATAATCATCGTCGTCGTCATCATCATCATCATCATCGACATCAACATCAACATCACCTCGCGTCGCTGCCATCCTCTGAATCAATTCGTCGACGCGCCATCGCAGTCCCGTCCCTATCCGCAAAACACAATTTGACACATCAATTGACCACACAACTGACACTTCCTCAGTATCCTTCCTTCACAATGCTCGCCAACTACTTGGTGCCGGCCCTCGCGGTCCTCGGCATGGTCTCTGCCGGTGAGTTTTTCTCTACAATAACTAAAGGGGCAGAATCTTCGGGTTCTGCCACCGGTCAAAACAATTTACTGATTGAACCTCTCTACAGCTCCCACAAACCCCGTCTGCAAGCAAACACTGGTGACCATCAGCAGCCAGTCCGATGCTGATGCCCTCAGCGGCTGCACGACCTTCACCGGTAACATCGAGATCTCCGCCAAGGTCCCATCCGGAAGCATTGGTCTCAACGGCATCCAACAGATCAACGGTGACTTGATTGCCAACAACGCCGTCAAGCTGACTGCCCTTTCCGCCACCTCGCTCGGCTCCGTCAGCGGAACCATCAAGTTCACCAGCTTGACCACCATGTCCAGCCTCGAGTTCCCATCGCTGTCCCAGGTCGGCGCCATCTCGTGGACGACCCTCAATGCTCTCCAGTCGCTCACCTTCACCACTGGTGTCACCAAGGCCAAGTCCGTCTTCATCACTGATACTGCTCTTACCACCCTCGACGGTATCAACCTTGCCACCGTCGACAGCTTCGAGATCACCAACAACGCCTACCTCCGCAAGATCGACACCCAGGTTGGCAACATCTCCCAGGCGCTCATCATCAACAACAACGGCCCCAACTTGGAGCTTACCTTCCCCAACCTGATCTGGGCCTTCAACATGACCGTCCGCAACGTTTCCAGCATCAGCATTCCTTCCCTGACGGTTGTCAACTCCACCTTTGGTGTCTACGGATCCTACATGCAGTCGGTTATTGCCCCCAACTTGACCAAGGTCGGAGGTGACGTTGCTTTCGTTGCCGACTCTTCGTTGACCAACATCTCCATGCCTCTTCTCCAGACCATCGGAGGTGGTCTCTTGATCGCCAACAACAGCAAGCTTCTGGACATCACCGGATTCAACTCCCTCAAGAGCACTGCTGGTGCCATCAGCATCTCCGGAAACTTCACCAAGTATGTCCTTGCGGCCTCCTAATAACGTAAATGAACAATGCTGACAATTTCCACAGGGCTGCCTTCCCCGCCCTCGCCGATGTCCAGGGTACGTTCAACGCCCAGACCTCGGCCAAGTTCTCCTGCAACGACTTCAACAAGCTCCACGATGCCCAGGTCGTCAAGGGTGACGTCTTCTGCCAGGCCCAGAGCGACAACGTCCAGGACAAGCCCACCGGCTCCACCAGCGGCCAGACCGACTCCGGAAGCAGCGACACCAAGAAGGATGCCGCTGCTGGCCTCAAGGTCTCGAGCGTCTTCGTTGTCGGCATGGCCGTTATTGGTGGTCTTCTCGCATTGTAAATGTAGCTATTTTTTTCGCGAGAGAGAGAGAGAAGGATATGAGTTGTTGAGTCGAGGATGGCGTTTTGTCGTCGTTTTTTTTTGTTATTAGTAGTGCAGTCGAGCTAGACAAGGACATAATATGTTACGACCTCTTCGTTGTGGGACCTTCTTGAAGTGTTGTGAGAGGGGTGGGGTGGGACAGCGAAACTCGGGATTTGAGGCCGAGAACTATCTGTCTTTACTTGCCATGCCTTTAGGACTCGTTGCTGGGGAGGATCTATCATTTTTCTGTGCATGCTTGACTTGACATTCGCTCTGCTCTGATGGTTGACGAGATGGGTGCATGATTGTGTTGTGGCATCTTTCTCTGTATTGTGGTTTTTGTTGACGGGCTGGGTGGGTAATGGGAGAGGAGGGGTTATCATGGGGGTGAGGGCGTGAGGGAGGAAGTGAGGAGAGGGGAGAGCGGGGGGGTTGCGTAGGTTGAGTCGAGGGAATTGCATGATAATTCCTGTATGCTTTTTTTTATTGTAAACTTTTGACTTGGTTGATTGATAAGGAGGGGTTAAGAGGCGCCGGTGTGTGTGCGAGCATGTGTATATGTGTGTGTATGTACAAAGTTATGGTAATGTTAAATACCCAGCTCATCGCCTGCGAATCCGCTGTTCTGTCCCCGTACTTTTCAGAAAATACCCCAACCAGAGCCAGCATGGAGCCCCAAACTTGATGGTCCTGGAGTACGTGCTAGTGTTTATAACTGGCACCAGCATCAGATTCGGCGAGGCGCATCCGTAACCGCTATTGAGGTGCCGTGCTGTGCTGAGCGGGGGGATGGTTGCCGTCGTCAGGTTCCTATCAGCGATATGCAGTCTTGTCGTCAGGGCCTTGGTGCCATCTAGTTTCCTCGGCGTATTCCCATCTATCCCTCGATGGCCAAGCGGGGCAGCACTCCTCTGGCAGCATCCTGGTTGCGTAGAAATGTAAGAATATTTTTTGCCCGCGAGTGCTTTGTTGGCTATGATAATCCTTGGGTGAGTTGGAATGGGACGTCGGGGGTAGTAGGCGGGGGGAAACTATGATGTGGTGTGGTGTATGTCCTCTTCTACGTCGACATTGTGGACTCTGTGGACTGTGTGGAGGTCTGTGTTGGGGCGTGGGCTGGGGATGGCTGGGTTTGAGGATTTTGATATCGCGGTGTTAAGGCTCGGGGTGGGGTGGCTGGGGTGGGGGGGTTGATCTGGAAACCGGTTTCGTTCCTCTAAGAGCCTAGAGCGCGGTGGTGTAGGGCGGATGGTGTTTTGATAGAGGTCTTGGGGGAGGGGGGGGGAGGGTGGGCAGAGCTTGTGAGAATGGGCAGAGGTGATACATAGCCAGTTGTCTGACTCCTGTGTCGTCCCTTTGATATCTAATATAGTATTATAATACTGTACCACTTTGGACTCACTTTCATACCCATCCGTTTACCAACTACTTTCTAGCAGACGACGTGCAAAACACCAGAGAAAGTCGACCTCACTACTACAATACCATGCTATCAATCTGATTATCTGTACCAGCATCAAACTCCGTGAGGCGCATAACTAATCGCAGGGACTCGCCTCTTCTAATGAGGTGCTGGGTGAGGCTATATTCGAGGAGGCAAAAGGTCGCCTAGAGCAGTTCATCGCACAGTTGCCTCTATAAGGCGGTGGTGGCAGCTACGTTGTTGCGGTTGATCTGAAAGCGGGACTATCTTCATTGTTGGTGTAGGATGAATGAATGGTCAGTGGATCGAGGTGACGGGTGATATTAAATAGAGGGCGCAGAGGTGATACCGGCATGGTCGGCGCTGCCTGTTGAGAGCGGGTGGAATGCTGGGTTTGTGGAAAGTAGGATGGAGGGTTTAATAGCTGATGTAGCTATTAGGAAGGTAGTGGGGAGGATGGAGACGCCGTATCATGTGAATAACAGCAAGTGTATATGCACAGTACCAACCTTTCCTTTCCATGACAGTAGTAAATCCCAGTCGCAGACCCCCATTATGCCCCCCTTGAATCGACTTATAACCCGCATAACGACCACCTCGACCCCTTACCGTGCCATACCTTGATAGTTTCCTGCCCGATTTCGAGGACGAGATACGTGTCCCCGATGATAATAAGAACGGAAGAGGACGTGCAGATAATGATGCCGAGGCTATGGAGGCTGGTGCGTGTGTAGTGGGGGGAGAAGAGGTGGAAGGGGAGGGGGAGTTGTTGGGGCAGTGGCGAGGGTGCTGGGAGGGTGTTGGTTGGTTGCTGGGGCGCTTGCTGGAGCTGATTAAGGGGGTGAGGGCGGCGGCAATGGTAACGGAGGAGGGGGGAGGGGGTGGGTTTGTGCTTGAGCTGTTTTTGGCTTTGGATTTGAACACATGTCCAGGGGAATAATGGAGGGGGAGTGTGTGTGTTCGTATGGGATAAGTACGAGGTACTCTTTCTTGGTGGCCGTGATCGAGGGTGCCACTGGTGGTTGATGAGCTGATAAGATGTGAGAACCGGGGGTTCAGGTGACCGCTGCCATGACTGTTGGAGTGCAGTTGATTTGACCTGGATAATTGCAAGATGAATAGAATAGATGACACCTGATTTCCCGGCTTTCCCGGTTATACATACTGAAATGTGCGAGAGGGAAGACACATGAGAGGGTGCTGGTTCTAGGAATGCAAGACCTCTGGCTCTCCGGTTGTTCTGGACTCACCTAGTCCCTTGGGTTTTTCTCCTTCCCCTCCTCGCATGGGATGACTAGAACTCTATTAAGTCGGCTATCCACTCTGTATCCACTTCATCTCCATTTCCTCATGCTACTAACAACGCAGTAGTGCTTATTCCCAGCAACCAGCTTGAGATGTATTAGCTGACAATGTTAAACTCAACTCTACGTCTGTGATAACCAAAACATACTCACGAAGCCAATAAAATCACTCAACAGTCATATCACTTGCAAACAACTTTGATAGCTGATATGGAATTGCAGCTGTTGTTCTAAAATACTACCAATTTTGGCCAAGTACGCCTTGGCCCCAGCCGTCGAACTGTCGTGTAATCCCCCAATTGTTCTGGAACAACAAGACAAGACGCCATGTTGCGGCAACCACTCACTTAGCCGTCTTAGCACACCACACCATATACGCCACATACACCACCCCTCATTCAATGTTCCTGTCTCTAAAGGAATTTTGGCTAAATACCCGTTGCCAACACTACCGTCGTCGAATCGAATGATGGGGTTGAGTCGGACTTATTGAACAGGGTCTAATTTCGACGGGTTGTTGGTGTCAAAACACACTCATACCCTTCACCTGAGTCCACAACTCTGCCAATCACTTCCCATGTCCGCCGTTGAACTTCTCAAAACAGACCTGGGTAAATGCGTCTAGGCAGAGTAGTGTCCAATTATTGAAGCTTGATTTGGTATGCACGGCTTCTTGGTATGATTGATGGCTAAATCCTCGGGAAAAGGCAGATGTTCCATCACTCCCGGGTGGCGCTTTTGAGCTGTGCATACAGGTTGGCTTGCTCAGTCGGCTGCTGCCGCCACCAAATTATCACAACTTAGCAGAGCCAGCGGTGAGATTTTCATGCCAACCATGTGATTACACAAACGTGGTTCGATATCCTAACTCACGGCCCGGCTGAAAGATGCCTAGCTTCCGAAGAACATGAGAAGTAGCAAATATAGAGAGCCAGAGTCAAGGCACTTCACAGGGTAAATACTGCACCCCGGCACCTTAGCCATTCCCCGGACATATATGGGCATGCATCGCCTCGATTTGGGGGAGACCGGATTATCGAAGTTGGTTCTTCCCTCTAGTTAGGCCTTGAATTCGACAGCTACTAGCTCCCTTACCAGTGCTCCAAATTTATACCCCAATTGCTCTATTTTGCTCATCAGTATGGTGAAAGCTCCAGAAATCGGCGCCAAAGCCGCGGAGGACAAGGCCCAGGTTGCCCAGGCAGAGGCACCGGACTTTGAGAAGGTCTATTGGAGGTCAGAGCCTCACTTGAGGAAGCTCTATTCCCTTGGTTTTGTCTTGATGATTGCCTCTGCTACCAGTGGTTACGATGGGTATGCCTCCCTAATCCACGCCACTCTCAAAAGGAGCTCCTCAGAAATCCTCAAGCTTAACAACCTCATACGCAGGCTCTTCATACGGATGCGCACTACCTTAATTAGCTCCTCCCCTACTCACCCTCAGTTCACAAACTCACCTCTTCAACGCCCCAACCGCCCGTCTAACCACCTCCTCCCCCTGACACAGCGCCTCGACCCTCACCTCCTCCACCTCCTCGAGCTTCCCCACACTCCCAATAGCAGGTTTCGCTGCATCCCCAGGACGGAACTGGCCTGTGCCGAGGGTGGTCCAGCAGACTTCGGTGTAAGATCCCGGACCAGGGTAGCGGCCGGCGCCGGCTGCGAAGATGGCGGTTTTGCAGGCGGAGAGGGAGGAGGGGGGAACGAAGAAGATTAGTTTGTAGCGGGTTAGGGTGGTGGCGGTGGTGCTAGCCATGGTGGTGGTTTGGTGTTGGATTGGTAGAAGTTGGTGTGAGGTGGTGGATAGAGTTGGTGTGAAGTCGTGGAGGGAAGTGGTAGGAAAAAGTACTATATGTAAGTCGGCTTACAGCCTAGCTCCTGAGAAGTGATTGACGGGAGCGCTAATGCGGGAGAGCTAAATGACCCACAACCCACTCCCTATACGGCGACTCCTCGTCCTTCAGCTTCATTATTCAGCCTCGTCGCGTAAGAGTGCTCCGCCCACTAAAAAGGGATCCTACGCTAAGTGATGGTGGCGATGTTAATCGGACCTCATTTCTAGTGTTCCAGCGGTTCCCAGGTCATTCTCGGGCAAGCAAATACCCCTATACGATGCTGAGGACGGTGCTACAGGTACTTCTTACGAAAAGGGCTCATATAACGCTCCCAACATGGCGTCCGTTTAACTGCAAACTCTTGACCAACAAGGCTCCTCATTAGCTGTATTAAGCTCAGTTTCCCCATCTACAGACAGGCGGTCTACGAGGACAGCGGAGACCTCTTTACCTAGAACTTCGGTATATTCGCCTAGATCATCACTACAGCAGCAGCAGCAGCAGCAATATCGACTTTCACAAGAGCGAAGACGACTTTGCTCTCAATCATTCGTAGAAGATGCTCGTGAAGCGATACAACAGTAGAGGCTCACGAAGTGCCACAACAATTGCCAACACAAGCGCAACAGGAACCGCAAGGAAACGAGAATGACATCCTGCCATCTCTGTGGTCTAAAATTGTTGAAAGGCTCCTCATTGTGGCAGTTCTTGCGTTCATTCTTGGGCTTAGGGGTATGGTCCGCTGCAAAGGACTACCAGGACTGGTGCAAGAGTGAACAGGTAGGCTCCTGTATCTGGCATTATAGGGGATGAAGCTGACAAGAGCATCGCCTAGAGCATTAGTCATACCCTCACCGATGCCTGCACACTTATCATAGATCGGCCATTACCCCCACCTCCTGGACTGAACCAGGTGTTTTAAGGGCATTAGACGGCGAGATGGTGAGAGTGTTGACGCTTCCGCTTGGAGCCACCTGACAGATAAGGAGTTGAAAGCATTTTACTCGGTGATGCTCTTTAGCTTTAGCATGCTAGCGATAGGGTTTAAAGGCAAAGACGTCGAATTAATTGCCTGCTCAGTTTCTATGGGTTATCTCATAGAAGAAGCATAGTTTACGGTGCCTTTAAGGAGCATATTTCTCATCATATACTTTATATGGGAGCCGTCGTTCACATTTCACTTAGGGTATGTATTTCTCTTGATGGACCAGACCTTTTTTCTAGTGGATGGAGGCGACGAAGAACCACCGTGGATAGGCCTGGCTGTGGTACTTAACACCTGCCGTATCGGATACACGAGTAAAAAATCCAGGGGGTTTCAATATCTCATGTTCTACGTCCGTTCTACTCGCTGGGCTGAGTTGCAAGGACAGGCTCGTGGCTATGTACTGTACCAATTTTCGACAGGCATACAGCGGGTAATACAACATTTCTTTCTATATCGATATTAAAATACATAAAATGGTTCCGGCCTTTAGTCGATTTGGTGGGCTCCAGCTAGACTTGGGAGTCGAACACCACACCGAGATGAGAATTGTAGCCACGAGAAACATGGCATCCAAGATACTACAAGACGATATTACATACACTCTTTCTTTTCCTTAACTCGGCTTGTATTGCCACCGCTGTAGATGACGAACAAGTCCAAGCTTGCAACTTCATTATTGCTTCATTACCAGCCTCCCCAAAGCATTATTTGATTGTATCAGGTTCAAAAGCACTTGGGAGCATGCATTAATTGATATTGTGGCCGTATGGTGAGGCGCTTCGCATTATGGGGTTTGCGTATGTGCATGGCTTGATGCATGCAGTGCGGGAGGAGACACAGGTGCAGGTTATAATGAATGATTATATGTTGACGAGAGCTCCGATTGAGCTCTTTATTCTAGCCTTTACTTAATAATTTGTTTGCTGTTTCGATCTGTCCGTTTGTTTGCCCCCTATCGGTCTGCTTGTATGTTCAGGGTTAGATAGGAGGCGAACCCTTTGTTCCTATCTTCCTTATAAGAAATCGAATATCCCTTAGCCCTGTAAATAAAACAACAAACACAAAACGTCTACCTTTTTTTACAACACAGATTACTAGTAATGATCTGAACCATTTTGAACTTCTCCCTAGCCAACACTTTCTGTCACTATGAAAGGTGACAATACCGCCTCCCCTGGGAACAGCCCATCGAGCTCATCGTCAAGCTCATCGAGCTCAAGTACATGGTCAAAAGTCCCAGAACAAACCCCAGAAGATGCTCGTCTGTTTGACTATCATCTCGACCTTTTGAGGCCCGGCTCTGCCCAGCGAGGATTTCAGGATGTCACGACGACACCGGTATTTTCCATGCCTGTTCTCAAGCAAGCCGTAGCCGAAGCTATTGCCGCCGGGGATTCCTCACCAGCATTTCCACAATACGGTCTACTTGCTGGCATGGCTGAAGGCGCACCAAATGAGTCAAAATCCAAAGAGGGAGACAGGTCATCCATCCATGATCCTCGAGTCTTCTTCAATGTTGCTGCTCCATCGAGCACTTTCATCTGTGGCTCTCAGGGTTCCGGCAAGAGCCACACGCTCTCATGCTTGCTGGAGAATTGCTTGATTCCGTCTGATGCCAACAAGCTTCCCCGCCCCCTTACTGGCCTTGTTTTTCATTATGACACCTTCATCTCAGACGGGGGTGGATCCCCTTGCGAGGCGGCCTACCTATCTTCGGATCCGAATATAAAAGTGAAGGTCTTATGCTCGCCGACAAACTATCGCACGATCAAAGTAAGTTCACTGACGTCTTCTACCCATTTTGATTTCCCACTGACCTTTGCAGCGAACATACCATGCCTTCAGCAACATTACAGTTGAGCCGCTGCGAATCAGCGAAGAGAATCTCAACACAAAGCGCATGCTCGATTTGATGGCTGTGAGCCGCGGCGACGGGCCAATGCCTCTGTATTTGCACGCCGTCTACCGCATCCTGCGAGAGATGCGAATCGAGCAACAGGAGATGGGAACGGGCTTTAGCTACGCCACGTTCAAGGACCGCGTTGCGAAAACAGAAATGACTCCAGCTCAACTCAGTCCACTCACACAGCGACTTGATACTCTTCAGAGTTTCATGCCGAATACCGAGACTGGAGTCTTTATCCAACAGCGAAAGGGCAAGTCGATGAGACAGTATGGAAATGACTGGACCTCCAAGGTATGTGGGTGCGTTGTGATATTTGATCTCTACCTTCTAACAGTTATAGCCCGGTTCTCTTACTATCGTCGATCTTTCATGCCCCTGCGTCACACCGGAGGGGGCTTGCTCACTGTTCAACATCTGCCTGAGTATTTTCCTCGACCAGGACACGGCGGGTCGCCGGGTGATTGCCTTGGATGAGGCACACAAGGTAAGCAATAATATTCGAGGCAAAATCCCTGTTCTAACCCTCAGCTTTAGTTCATGAATGAGTCGGCCGAGGCCCAGACCCTCACGGCGACGCTGCTCACCATAATCCGATTGCAACGCCACCTCGGCGCCCGAATCATTATTAGCACGCAAGAGCCCACCATCTCACCGGAGCTCCTTGACCTTTGCTCGGTTACCATTGTTCACCGCTTCACGTCCCCTGAATGGATGAAAAGTCTCAAAGCGCACCTAGCAGCAGCGGCGTCCGACATTACTGATCCGGAGCCCGATGCGGGCGATCGAGACACAGAGTCGATCCCAGGGGCAAAGGTCCAGACGGCGAGCATGATCTTCAAGAAGATCGTTGGTCTTGAAGTTGGAGAGGCACTTTTGTTCTCGCCCAGCGCAATGGTTGGTGTCGATGTGGCGAGCGGAAGTGGCAGGTATGCAAGGCTCGGGGCGGGGTTTCTGAAGGTCAGGGTGAGGAGTAGGTTGACGACCGATGGGGGCAAGAGTATTTTGGCCGCATAGAGAAACCGTGATAAGGTGTTGGATTATTGAGATAAACAGCTACTATAGCGTATGAATGAAGTCAGCCGTCCTCTTCAGAGTCTATTCATCAACCGTCTGTTAAGTTCCTCTGCAAACCCACAACTCTCTATGCTCTCCTTATCAACCTTGTGATTATCGCACCAGCATTTATTGTTCCCACGTTGATACTCATGGGTAACTAGCGGACTACGTTCAATTCTCTCCACAGAGAACTGCACGTCGACAGCGTCCAGCTTCAATTTCGAGAAAACTCGTAGCGGCACTTGCGTACAAATCCACTTGACAAAATCCGCAAGACAAAACGGACACTTGCATACATATACTCTTCGCCACCAGTGCTCTGTGTTATTCATCATTATTTCCCACCCGTGATTTACGGATCTGGCAAAAGAGAACTCGCAGTCGTCTGAAAAAGGAGGTATGAACTTGTTGCGGCCAGTTGTAGGTCTAACGATAGCGACCGGACCATCGACGGCTTGATAAAAGTCTCTGGTGACTGGAACATGAATGCGGACAGGCAAAACACGTTGTCAAACGCGAGGCATAGGTTTGCGTAGAAATTGGGACGGGCTTCGGCGTAGATTTGGCGGTTTGTGAGCAGCCAGATGAGTGGATTGGCAGTTAGTTTGGCTTTCGAAGAGCGGGGTTTGCGTTTCTTGTTGGTGGGTGGCAGAGGGGGAATAGCAAAGCTAAATCTGGCAACTTGCTCTAGTGGACCAAATGTGAGGGAATCTGCGCATACGAGAATTGGCCCCGAACAAATGGCAACGGCTTCCCAGATCATGCATCGTACTTCTGGAGGGAGGGTGAGTAATGAGGGCCGTTGAGAGATTGTTCCGTCGGCGCCTAACGCGAATTAGAACCCGGAGAAGAATATCTATGGAGCTTACTACCTTCCATTGCTTAAATAGGTGTTCCTGCGGGAAGCTATAGAAATTCTTGTTGGTCATTGAGATGGCAATCTCGAGTAATAATGAAAATAGGAGATATGGAGATAATACATACCACGCTATACGCTGTAACCGAACCGGACTTTCTGATTATAGCTGCAAAGATTTCTCATCATCTTGATTGTGCAGTTTCCCGTCTTCATTTTATGTCTGCCTGTTGATAATGGATGCGGTTGTCAGTCGTACACCCTGACCACGTCAAGCCTCGAGTGTAGGAATGGCCAAGAGACTCGGCCTTCTTACAAAAACAGCGTATTCGAAATATGTATGTATCTAATAACAAGACCCTTTTTAGATGACTTCCCAATATTACATACCTGACTCATGTATGCACACCCAGACGCCAGACCCTCAATATGAATACACCGCCGCCGCCGCCGCCGCCGCCCCCACCGTCACCCACCTACTCCTTCCTCACCCTACTACTCTTCGCCGCCTCTCTAACCCTATCCTCCTCCTCAGACCTCACAACTTTCTCCCCCTCCGCCCCCTCCCTCGCCGCCTTCTCCCCAAGCAGCTGCTTCACAGTACTCTTCGACTCCGGCGCCGCCAGCGCCCCATGCCTCCGCAGTGACTCATTGCGCCAGCTAATCTGTCCCCCGTCTGCCTCGCGGTGCATCTGCGCATTGCGCTTCGCTGCTGTGATGGATGTGCGCGCGTATCTGCCCCTTGTTAGCCGGCACGCGATAGGAGTGTGGGGGTGGCGGCATACACGAAGAGGAGAGTGGCCATGCAGAATGCCGCGAGGGGCGTGGCTATCGTCTAGCGGGTAGAGTTAGCAGGCGGCGCCTATGCGTGTTTAAAGAGTCTGGAGAGGGCAATTGCATACCCGAGCATTGAGATTGTATTTACGTCCTCCCATAGTTGCGGTGATGATGGGTCGTGTGTAGACGAGGCTGAGGGTTTCACGACGGGCTGTTGTTTTGCTTCGGGAGCTACCCCAAAGTACCAAGCTAGTTTCCCCAGATCTCGGCAATCGGGATTTGGCATCTTGGACGACAATCGTAGGGATGTGACTCAAGACGCGATCTCATGAATCACTCGGTGAAGGTTCTGCCGAGAGGATTGGTATTTATAAGTATGTGCATTTCGCATAATTCATTAATGCTACCGCTATAAACAAGAAACTACAAACGCTGCTATATAAACTACCCCCCTTCATGGCTCACTCTCCGCTACATATGGAGTCTCCACTGGCCTCTCAGCCTGAGGGATGCGCGCCAAATGCCTCCTCACTACGCCGCCACGCTTGTGGCTGAACTCGGCTTGCTCGATGCCGGAGTGGACGGCCTTGAGGCCGTGGAGGCGCTGCTTGATGGCGGGCGAGAGGCGGTTGTAGGCCTCGACTTGGTTGACGAAGGCGGTGTCGCCGCCGGTCTCGGGGGTGTCGAAGACGTAGAGGAAGGTGGTTCCGGGGGGTTGCGCCTCGTAGGAGACATTGCGGCCGGCGAAGAAGTTGTCCAGCTCACCTTTGCTGCCGACGCGGTGGACGAGGTGGATCTAGGGGTAGCCCTCTGGGGCGCCGGAGGTGGGGGGATGTGGTAGCGGACGAAGTAGCTGCCGAAGTTGAGGGCGTCTTTGATGGGGAGATCGGCAAAGTCCTGGTCACGGAATGCGACGACCTTGCGCTGGGCGACGAGGGCGAGTTGGTCCTTGCCGGCGGCGGAGAGCTGGCTGAGTTGCACGCCGCTGACTTCGGAGCCGGTTGCGGGGGCCAGCTTGGTGTATTTTGCTACCCTCGACAAGGAGATCCTTGAAGGTTGGGTCGGTGCCAACACCGTGATCTACGTGCTCGAATGGCTCGAGCGGCGCGTACTTCTGGTCATAGTAGTAAACCGGAAGGTAGTGTGGGTTTTTTGCTGTGGTAGTTCCTCCCTCTTCGTCGATTTGCCTGCGGACTCTTCGGGCTGGAGCATCTGCCGATGTCTCTGTTGAGCCTCTGGTACTGCGACTACTGGTGCTTGCTTGGTGACGACTGGAGCGACCTGCTCTTGTTGGATTTCTGCGACGGAAGGAGCCATTTTGAAAGAGTATTGTTTTTTTACTTTGACGTGTTTGCGGCATTGAACTGTTGTGTCACGACTGAAACTACCCCATCAACCTCGTGGGCGACGGTTTTATATAACCGCCATTCATGATATTTCACTTGATGATTTTGTCGGCCATCACGGCGTCTGCAAGCACCGCGAAGTCTTTCGCAAGTTCATCATATTTCGACCATTCTTTGCACAATCCGTGGACGGGATGGTGAGATTGGAGAAGATACCGACGGCGTAGTCGGGCAATCTACTAGCGATCCGTGGGTTCGATTTCAAAGAGCGGCTCAAGAGCGATGGTGCGTTTCGACGACGTGTTTCGAACAGAATCACGGCGAAAGTTGTCACGGATTCACTGATGAAAGCAGGGACATCGTGGATCACGTCGTCGATTACGAGCTCGATTTGACCAGGAAACGTATCCACGAGAAAACACCATCGCGGTGGTAGGCGTCGAAAGTTACCGTCGCCGATAATTTAGTGTATTTCGCACATCTTCCAAGTTACAGATAAGAGGAGTAAGTCGCATCTTTCCATATGGTCTCAGTTTGCTACAGATGACGTTATTTGAGCTGCTTATCCATCCAACTGCATCGTGGAATAAAGTAGTGAATTGCTGGAGTAAATTCCTACAGTAACGTCTTCGGCAATCGGCAATTGCACCATCATGAGAGTTCATGTACGGCAGTTATGTCCGCCTATATCCCCAGCTAGGCAATTCAACTACTCCATTTATTATTATTCTTTATTTGATTATCATACGGCAATGATACTGTAGTCCCCAGACATTAAATAGACCCCGAGTTATGCGACCATCAAGATGTTGCGTCACATGACCACGCCCCCTCTACACACCCCCTACAGTGCGAACAGGGGTATGGCTTGCTGGGGGGTTTCAATGTCTGTTGCTCCATAAAAAGAACATAGAGCATGTCTTATAATACTCTAGCATTGTGTATAGGTGCTCGTACATACTGATCTTCGGCATCTGTCTGGCTTTGGTCAACGGCATTAAGACAAATGGCATTTCACATATTTCAAGTTGAACAAACGGATGAACCTCTCTCAAGCGCCCTCCCTATCACTATCTCTGAAGTTACTCCCTTACGGGCCTCTTGGCTTAATTGGGAACTCTACATGCAAATGCCGGTTCCCACTATCCGATGATGGCATCCTAAACTTCAATGACGAAGATTCCAGCGTATTGTTGATCGTGTTTCAACCAATTGTCAGCATCCATACGCACGTCCTCCCCAGACCGAGACCGGATCCTCATGTGTCGTCCGCGTGTGGAAAGGGATTCATGTCTGAATACAACTCTGTAGCATGGGCATGCACCCCACGCCGGCGAGAGCCGGCCAAGGATGGAGTTTGGGAGCAAGTTAGACATTTCCTTGTCGTTTCTTATCTTTTCATAGTTCCTCTGGGCGGATGGTAAGCCTTGGCAAACGATGCATCGTCAATTTTGTTGGAAACATAGCCCGAAAATCCCTATCTACGGCAGTCCCGAGACTGCGCCGGGGGTGCACGTTGATCACCTCATATGCCGAGAGTATTGTACATGCCTCTCTGTCCACCTCTTGATGCTACATGTATAAAAATATATAAACCCTTTCCTCGTCATTCATGGAGTGGCAACACGGTCGAGAACTGTGGTAGCAAAAGCTCCAGATAGATCTTCATCCCAACAAAAATGGGTTCAGCTTCAATCGGAAGCAGACGCGGGGATGACTCCGACAGAATGTCGGTGTCATCCGAGGGAAAGCCGGGCGTCATTCCTGGAAACCTCCTGGACGGCGTCCAGATAGTCACCAAGGGCGGCAACCTCGTCACCAAGGATGGCGTCTCGACGCAAGAATCAGACACCAGTCCGTCGACCAACGTGTTTGCCGACCCGGAGATTAGGGACCTCTATGTCAAGATGTACGAAAAGGCAAGATACGAGTGTCGCCATGTATTTGACGCAGACCTCACATGGACCGCCGAGGAAGAGAAGAAACTTATACGTAAGGTTGACTGGCGAAGTAAGATATGTTGCCATCCCCTTAAGTTGGATATTGCTAAACTACGATATAGTCTGCTCATGGGCTTGCATTATGTTTTTCTCCCTATAACTTGATAGGGGGAACATGGTACAAGCTGTCTTGGGGACGCTCTTCAAGGACTAGCACCTCAACACAAATGGTAAGTTCCCAAGTGCGCTATTCCCTTCAGCCATTAACATTCAACCCCAAGATTACAACCATGAAAATACGATCTTCGCCGCGTCTTTCCTAGTCGCCGAGCTGCCGTCTCAACTCGTATCGAAGAAAATCGGCCCCGACATATGGATTCCGATGGAGATCTGCCTCTGGTCGATTGTCGCCATGAGCCAAGCCGCCATGACAAGCCGATCAGGATTTTTTGCAACGCGTGCACTATTGGGTATCCTCGAGGGCGGTTTCATCCCCGAACTCATCCTCTTCCTGAGCTACTTTTACACCTCCAAAGAACTGCCTATCCGCCTAAGCTTCTTCTGGACCGCGCTTAGTGTAACTGGCATCATCAGCTCTCTCCTTGCTTTTGGGATTTTTCACCTTGAGGGTGCCCATGGAGTGGCTGGCTGGAAATGGCTGTTCTTACTGGGAGGGCTGATCACTCTTGTAATTGGGATCGCTTCATTTTTCATGATGCCCGCTTCGGCCGTCCAGACGAAGACTTGGTTTAGGCGGCTGGTTTACTTCCCGCGAGGAGGCTATTCTGGTTAACCGCATCCTGCGCGATGACCCCTCCAAGGGATCCATGATGAACCGCAAGGCCATCACACCGTCGCCTCTGGCGCGGACTCACAGACTATGATCTGTGGCCAGTACATATACCCCTCTCCCATTACCAAGCACGAACTCCACTAACTTATCCCAGATCTACGCCCTCGGAATAATCATCTACACCCCCCAAAACCTACCCAGCCTCTACCTAACCCTCACCCTCCGCTCCTTCGGCTTCTGCACCTTCAACGCCAACCTCCTCATCATCCCCCACACCGTGGTCCACATCTTCACCCTCCTGACCATAACCTGTTTCTCCGGGAAATTCAACCAGCGCGCCCTTGTCGCCATCTTCCAGCTCATCTGGACCCTTCCTGTCCTGATCTTCCTGGCTGTCTGGCCGGGGCTCATCAGTAACCAATGGGGCACCTACGCCGCCACCGCCGTGCTACTGTCGTACCCGTACTGTCACGCTATTGTTGGTGGCTGGGTGAGCTCGAACTCCAATGATGTCGCCGCGCGCGCTCCATCTCAGCATTGCTGTACAACATGTCTGTCCAGCTCGGTGGGATCTGTACGACCTTCGTGTACCCCGAGGATGATAAACCGTACTACCGCCGGGGCAACAAGGACGTTGATTGCGACCAATGTGTTGGGGATTGGGCTGTTCTTGTTTGCGAAGGCGTATTATGTGTGGAAGAATAAGGTGAGGGACAAGAAGTGGAATGCGATGACGAAGGAGGAGCAGAATGATTATATTGCTAGATTTTAGATTTATGCATTGAGGCGTTGGATAGGGGAAGTGGGGGGGGTGTTTAACTGGTCTGGATTAAATAATACCATGAGAATTACTAAAGATATTAGTTTGATGCTGCATTTCGTTAGGTGAGAATATTAAATGTCTAATTTATCACACATATGCGTCCTGTACTGTAAGTGAAGCCTGGCCAATCGGAAACCTTGCCATCCTGTAGGTGGCGTCTCCCCGCTCATGAGTCACATGATATGGAGGCGTCAACAAGCTCTAGCAAGGACTACAGACCATATATATCATATTTATAACACCTAAACGGCTCTATTCTATATATATATTAGTGTATAAGTTACCATGCCCCCATCCGCAGACCTAGCAACCCAACCCCCGGCCGAGGCACCGCCTAAAACCGCCCCGAAGCAAGCGCCGCACGCTCAGGGCTCCGAAGAGAAGACCCCCTTACAAGCCATAAGCCATGGCATTTTGATGGACGGTAGGAACTAAATAGCCCATTACCATATCCCCCCCAGAATACGGGCACGTACTAACTCCAACAGGCATCCCAACCTTCTCCTCCCTTGCCGAGCACCGCAAACACATCCTCATCCACACTGCCGCCACCTTCCGCGACTTCGCGCGCAAAGGCTTCACCGAAGGCCAAGCGGGCCACATCAGCGTCCGTGACCCGGAGTTCGAGGATTACATCTGGATGAACCCTCTCGGGCGGCACTTCGGTCTCATGACAGCCGGCGACATGATCTGTTTAGATATGCACACCGGTGCGGTCGTAGGTGGTAACAATGTACGCGTCCCCTTTCCCAAATTTATATATTGTATGGTTAAAGCATGTACCGGCGTCCCCCCCCCCCTTGCTAACCCCGAACCGGACCTAGACCCGCCCCGCCAACGCCGTAGGCTTCCAAATCCATTCCGCGATCCACAAGGCGCGGCCGGATGTCGCGGCCATCTGCCACGCGCACACGAATGCGGGCCGCGCGTGGAGCGTGTTTGCACGGCCGTTGGAGATGCTGAATCAGGATGTTTGTAATTTCTATCAGGCGCATGCGGTGTATGCGGAGTATGGGGGAATTGTGTTTGCGGAGGAGGGGGGGAGGAATATTGCGAGGGCTTTGGGGGAGGGGAATAAGGTGAGTTTTCTCTCTATTTTTTTTATTTCTTCGATTTTGGGGGGTTTTGAGAGCGGGAGGGGGAGGAGAGGCTAATGAATGGGGAACTAGGGAGTTATCCTGATGAACCACGGGTTACTCACCGTCGGCCACACAGTCGATGAAGCGGGCTACATGTTCGGCCTCCTCGACCGCGGCTGCCGTATCCAGCTCGACGTCGAGGCAGCGTGTGCGGGTAATCCGGGGCTGAAGCGGAATATCATTTCTGACGAGGAGGCGTCGTATAACATGAAGATGGCGAGTGAGAAGCATGTTTTGTATCGGGAGGCGCAGCCGGATCTGGATTATATCTTTGAGACGCAGGGGATGGAGGTCGTGGCGAGGGGGGTGGATAATATGGTTATTGATGGGCCGGGTGGGGATTAATACGGTGGGATGGATGCTTGAGTGGGTTGTTTGTTCGGCGAGTGGGCGGTGGTGAGGAGGAGCTTTTTTGATAACAGTACGTATCCTTATGTCCTCGTATATAATCACATATAGACCAATCTAAAAATATATCAAGACGGCTAGCCACGGCGGACATCGCTATAAAAACGCCGACACCGTTCCACTCTCGCTACTTAAGAGCGAAATCCGAAAACCGAAAGACCGAAATCCCCACTGTATAGATTTTTGATAGTGGGGCGGGTGGAAGTAGCGTGGATGTTTGGAGATGGCAGGGTTCATCCGGTTAGGACGGGATCGACTTTTTACCGTATGCACAAGGTACGTACCGCTAACGCTCTCTTGCGTCATGGTTTGTAGAAATTAATTTTGAAGGAAAATGGAGGCGATGAGGATTGAACTGGATTGTTAAGCTGGGGGATTATGGAGAAAGAAGTAAACGCCTAAAATCTATGGGAAGTATATATGTTTTATAACCACTGGTTACTATTTCAATATCCAATATATAAAACCTCCCGCGCTGAACTGGCGTGCCGAGGCAAGGCACGCCGAGGCAAGGCACGCCAGTTCAGCGCGGGAGGTTTTATGTTCTAGCCTAGCCTCGTCCCTGAAAAGGTTTAAGACGGTCTGGTCCATGACACCATTCGCCCATTCGAGCCAGAAAATTGGCCACTTCATTAAGGAACTCGGCAGAGATTGCCTCTTATTTGATATAAATTCCACATTGCTAGAAAGATCTCTTGCCCTGCACTAAAAATACTCTCTATGTCGCTGTTTACTACATGTCGCTGTTTACTACTAAGCCTTTTCCTTCCGCTCTTTTCTGAATCCATCGCCATAAGCTCGACGGTGGGGCGATAAATAAAAAAGGACATCTTTCGAAACAGAGATATAGACAACCTACCTCGCCCACGGCTGCTGATCTCTCAAACGCAGACAAACACGGCAAAGGGGTCCCTCGAATATATTTGCTCACCACCTGGCGATACGGTGACCAGATATGGACTCCACCGACCGCGAGCTCGCCGCCGCAGGCGCAGATATCCCCTCCGAGCGCCCCCCGATGACCAGCGGCCGCCAATTGAGCCATGAAGCCCAAAGGATAGGCTCCGGATACTCTTCGAATTCCTCCTCCTCGGATCAGCCATATCCCAACCCTGTTGGTCTGAGCAGGACACACTCGACCCAGACGGACCTCGAGCGTCGCCATATGTCTATAAGCCGCATACAGACAGCGCGGACGCAGCACAGCAGCACTGTGGGGAGAGGAGTCGAGTATAAGGAGCCCAAGAAGCCGCTGCCAAATTTTGGGTATGGGAAGTCTTATCCGCCGCCGCTGCCGGCGAAGGAGGAATATGTCGTTGAGTTTGACGGCCCGGATGATCCTCTGCATGCGCAGAACTGGCCGCTTAAGAAGAAGTACGTCTGATCGACTGCGCTCGAGTTTTCTCGTACCATGCTGACCGTTTTTTGTAGGCTGTATACGGCTGTGATGCTCGGTCTTACCACGCTGACTTCGGCGTTCGCTTCCAGTGTTTTTTCGGCTGCGATTTCTGCTGTCTCAAAACAATTCCATGTCGGAGAGGTGGTTGGGACACTCGGTGTATCTCTCTATGTTCTCGGCTTCGCTACTGGACCGACGCTGTGGGCGCCGCTGTCCGAGTTGAAGGGACGACGACTCCCTATTCTCATCTCCATGTTCGGGTTCGCCATTTTTCAATTCGCAGTGGCCGTCGCCAAGGACCTGCAGACGGTTCTCATATGTCGATTCTGGGGAGGATTCTTCGGTGCATGTCCTCTATCCGTCGTTGCGGCAGTGTTCTCGGATATGTTTGACAATAAAACGAGAGGACTGGCAATCACGGTGTTCTCCGTGACGGTTTTCAGCGGTCCGCTCATTGCCCCATTCATTGGAGGTTTCATCACCGAATCTTATCTTGGCTGGCGCTGGACCGAGTACATCCCTGGTATCATGGGAATTGCGTGCTTCATTCTGGATCTCATATGGTTAGAGGAGACCTATCCCCCCGTCGTCTTGATCGAGAAGGCTGCGGAGCTTCGTCGCCGAACCAAGAACTGGGGTATCCACGCGAAACAGGAGGAAATCGAGCTTGATTTCAAGGAGCTCGTAACGAAGAATTTCAGTCGTCCTATGCGCCTGCTCTTCACCGAGCCCATTATCTTCCTTCTCTCACTCTACATGGCCTTCATCTACGGCCTTCTCTATCTCTTCCTGACAGCCTACCCAGTCGTCTTCCAGGGCGTCCATGGCATGTCGCCCGGTATTGGCGGCCTGCCATACTTTGGCATGGTCATAGGACAGCTGTTCGCTGGAGCCTACATTTTCTACATCCAGCCGGCTTATAACCGCAAGCTGGATGCGAACAACGGCGTCCCGATTCCCGAATGGCGTCTCCCTACCGTGGTTATTGGAGGTGCCGCTTTCGCTATTGGATTGTTTTTCTTTGGCTGGACGGGATATACCAAGAATATCCACTGGATTTTTCCCACGCTGTCGGGCTTGTTCACCGGATTCGGTCTTCTGACAATCTTCCTACAATCTTTCAATTATCTCATTGACGCCTACCTCATGTTGTAAGTTTTGTCCAGCAGCCCCTATCAATATGTTAGACTAACCATCTCAGTGCCGCCTCCGCAATCGCAGCAAACACCTTCCTCCGTTCCCTCGCAGGTGCCGGATTCCCCCTATTCGCTCGTCAAATGTTCAAGGCCTTGGGAGTAAATTGGACTGGGACACTCCTCGGATGTGTGGCCATGGTGCTTGTGCCAATTCCAGCGGCTTTCTGGTACTACGGAGAGCGCATCCGTGCAAGAAGCCCTTATGCTCCCGCCGCTGCCCTAAACCTTGGTGAGGATTCTCATGACGAAGAAGAATTGCAGGGAGAGGCCGATTCTCATGGTGAAGGAGCAGGCCTTGAGGAGGTCGAAAAATCACGTAGCAGCGAACGCAATGCTCGTACCAATACTGGTGATAACGCTGTGTAAAGTCTTGTCTTGCGTCGATGCCAACTGTGTAGAATCTGTGTTGGGGGTTCGTATCAAGTTGTATAAATCGGATGGTTAATTTGCAGTATGGGGTCTTTTAATTTTGGATACCAGTTAGCGGGCACGGCTTCGTCTTGCCATACTTAGCAAATTTATAAAGATATTTGATTGACAAGATTGCATTGAAACATACCGATGAAGCGGGACGTCGTAGTAGAGTTGCTAAGTGACACCTGTAAGATTAACAACAGCCTTGCTGCAAGGCTGATGACGCTTGGACCAACAAGTACCACCAAAGGCCCCTCTGTCATCGGTCGTCCTCAGACCAGCCTCGTCCGATGGCTACCCTTGCCAAACATCATAAAGATTGACTTCACAATACCGCCAGCATGGCTGACAGAGCCCAAGACCCTCTAATGGGTGGGGATGAGCACGACTACGATGACCCCGAATCGGTCAGCGAGCACGACTACGATGACCCCGAGTCGGTCAGCGAGCACGAAGACCCAAGTTCCACACCCACCCTCTTCGTCTGGCTCCTAACGCTCTCCGCCGGCATCAGCGGCCTCTTATTTGGCTACGATACAGGCGTAATCTCAGCTACCCTCGTCTCCATCGGCACCTCCCTCTCCTCTCGCGCCCTCACCACCCTTGATAAATCCCTAATCGCAGCATCCACCTCCCTCTTCGCCCTCCTCGTATCTCCCATCAGTGGTCTCCTCGCCGATTCTCTGGGGCGCAAACGCGTCATCCTCATAGCAGACCTTCTTTTCATTCTCGGTGCGCTGGTGCAGGCTGTCGCGACGTCGGTATGGATTATGGTCGCTGGCCGATCGATCGTTGGTCTCGCTGTCGGCGCAGCGAGTTTCGTCACGCCGTTGTATATTGCTGAGTTGGCGCCGTCGATGTTTCGGGGGAGGCTGGTGACGTTGAATGTTCTATTCATCACGCTGGGACAGGTTGTGGCGTATCTGATTGGATGGGCATTTGCGGAGCTGGGTGGGGAGACGGGGTGGAGGTGGATGGTGGGGTTAGGTGCGTTACCAGCGGCGCTGCAGTGTTTGGTTATGATTGCTATGCCCGAGACGCCGAGGTGGCTGGCCCAGGCTGGACGGACGGAGGAGGCCAAGGCTGTTTTGCAGAAGGTTTTCGGTGCTGCGGATATGAGGAGGACTGTTCAGCCGGTGATGAAGGCTATTGAGCGAGAGGTGCGACAGGAAGAGGAAGCGAAGCGGGAGAGGGCTAGAGGGTCGACAACGAGGGACGGGGGATGGTTCTCTGACAGCTGGTCTGAGTTGTTTGGTGTGCCTGGGAATGTCAGGGCCTTGACCATCGCATGTTTATTGCAGGGTCTCCAGCAACTATGCGGATTTGTGAGTTTCACGCCCCTTTTCCCCAAGCACTACTAATACAAACAGAACTCCCTAATGTACTTCTCCGCCACACTCTTCTCCCTACTCGGCTTCGCCACACCAACCCTAACCTCCCTCTCCGTCGCCGCCACCAACGCCATCTTTACCATCCTCTCCCTCCTCCTGATCGACCGCTTCGGCCGCCGCCTCCTCCTCCTCCTCTCCATCCCCGTCATGGTCTTCGCCCTGATCTGCTGCGCCGCAACCTTCCACTACATCATCCTCCCCACCGACACCAACTCGCACAACCCCTCCGTCGACGCCCCCCCCCCAATCACAAGCCGCACCTCCCCCCTCCTCGTCGTCGCCTCCATCATCCTCTACGTCGCCGGCTACGCCACCGGCCTCGGCAACGTCCCGTGGCAGCAGAGCGAGCTCTTCCCCCTAAACATCCGCAGTCTCGGGTCGAGCCTGGCGACGGCGGTGAATTGGGGGAGTAATACGGTGGTGGGGTTGACGTTTTTGCAGATGCTGGATGGGTTGGGGCCGAGCTGGACGTTTTTGATTTATGCGTTTGTGTGTTTGGTGGGGTGGTTTGCGATTTGGTTGGTTTATCCGGAGACGAGGGGGTTGACGCTGGAGGAGACGGGGGAGTTGTTGAAGGAGGGGTGGGGTGTGCAGAGGGGGGTGGGAGGTTGGGGAGGGGGGTGGGGGCGGGGGCGGAGGATGGGGAGGGGTAGTTGGTGTAATATATTGGTCTGTAATGTAAATTGGGAACGTTTCCCAACTCACCTTAATTCCGATATAGACCAAATTTTATATTGCTTAAACCCGCAGCTGCACCGCTGCAGCAGAGTCTTGCGGTTCAGTCTCTAGCCTAACTCTGACGGATAATAAGTTTAGTGCGTGGCACTGGGTGTCAGATGCGGCACCCGCGAGGTCCGTCAACAACCATGTATTTATTACCGTTGAGTATCGCGTTTCCCTGTTAAGTTAAGATGCAGGGGTTTGAATCCCAATTTATTTTGGTATTTTGAAATATTTTTATTTCAATAACCTCTTGAGTGCCACTGTAGAAAGATGCACGACATACAGTAGTACTGTTCGTTGCCTTTTGTCCATATCTGTGGCTTTCAACACACGTCAACTTTCCCCCTGCGTTGCTGCATCAAGAGCTATGAACAGCTGTCAGATTAAAATGTTATTTATATTTTTGGGGTACCTCTATTCTCTATACCCTTCTAAAGTGTATATCTAAAAGTAGGGGCCCTGTCGCCCATCTTCGCAATCTCGTCATCGTTAATGTCCGCACCATCGCTCTCATCCCTATCCCTCTGCGCATTAATCCTCGCATAGTTCCACCTCAGCGTCAGCACCGCCGCAATACCCAGGGACACAATCCCAATATTCAGCGCATGCCCCAAGATAAACTGAGGCTTGTCCCTCTTACGATAGAAGTTCGACGCCATCGCGCCGGAGAGGTTACCGATTCCGATTTGGAAGCCCATTCCCGCTGCGCGCTTGTATGAGCCCGCCAGGTTGTTAGCAATCCATGTAATGTTTCCAGGAACGGCCGGGTAGATGCCGCATGTTGTGATGAAGACGCCGGCGTAGACAACTCCGGGGATACCGCCGTGTGCTGATGCGGCGAGCGCGATGATGAAGCCAACTAGGATCGCAATCATGGGCCAGAAGATGTACGGCCAGCGGGAATTCCCGGCCTTCGCAGCGCGGTCGGAGAGCTTGCTGGTGCCGATGCACATAATTGCGGCCGAGATATAGATGGGAATGGTAAGGAGTTGCGCGGTGGCAGCCTTGTAGCCGAGTTGGTTGATGATGGTGGGCAGGAACAGGGAGATACTGTAAAGGGGGCAGACAATCCCGATGAACATCATCGTGCCTAGCCACACCTGCCAGTCCAGCACTGCGGCCTTCACGAAGCGCCACTCGAACTTATCACTCTCTGCAATCATCCTTCCGGATCTCTTGCTGCCTTGGTACTTGAGGCGGTGGGATGCCCATGCACGTTCCTGGGGTGTGAGGAATGATGCCGTATCCGGAAAATCGTACATTATGAAGTACGCGCTAGAAGCCACCACGACTGTCAAGAGGCCCTCCAAGATGAAGATCCAGCGCCAGCCCTCGTAGCCACCCACCCCATCCATCTTAGCGATAGCAAAAGCCAGCAGCCCGGAGAAGGCGCCGGCCATGGAAGCGGCGGAGAAAAAGAGGCCTTGCCGGATGGCTAGCTCCTCCGAGCAATACCACATTGTGAGATAATATGATACTCCGGGAAATAATCCAGCTTCAGCGAGACCTAGGAAGACACGGACGGAAATGAGGCCGGCGTAGTTGTTTGTCACGCCTAGACATATGGTGCAGGTGCCCCACGCAACCATTATGGATGGCAACCATACTGACGGACGGAGTTTCTTTAAGAGGAGGTTTGATGGCAGCTCGAAAACTAATTGAGTCAGCAAGAAGGCTTCAACTAAAAGATAAACAGGGAAGTGTCCAAGATTAGGTTATCTTTTTGAAAGGAACAATCGCATCGAGAGAACAAATGGAAATATACATACGAGCATACGTGAAAAAGAATACTGTTAGGCAGAGAGCATACTGAGTATCAGTCAAGCGTAGGTCCTCTGACAATCCCTGAATATTGGCATTGCCAATGTTTCTGTAGTCAAACTTCCGTCAGCCAAGAAACACACGGTGGAGCCTTCCCCATACTCTCGCCACAACGAACACCAGTCGCCACTCAAAGGGGAAGGTGATAACTTACCCTCTATCCAAGAAACTCAGCAAGTAGAGTAACGCAAGTACAGGAATCAAGCGCATGTCCATTTTGCGAAGGACGGCAGCTCTATCGACGCCGGAGAAGTCGGCATCAGGACCATCCCATTGCCCTTCGTCCTTCACAGGGGCCGAATTGGTTATCACACCAGGTTCCTGGTGCTCGGTGTGTACCGCATCGTGGTACGGCTTCTCCCTATCGGAGAGGGAGGAGTCTGCCATGCTTTTTTCGTGTTTGGAGGTCTTGTGCGGCGAGGTCTGGGTAAAGGATCGCGCAACACAGAGGAATGATATCAAGGTCTGAGAACTGGGAAAGGGTGTAGGGGAAACAGGGGACCTTTTATTTGATACAGAGGATGGTATCACCACCAGATGTCTTGTGTTCCCCCGCACTCTCCCCACGTCTCCTCGCCTCCGTTCGTGGTTGGAGCATCTCGTTGGCCATCTTCTCCATCATCATCACATTCCCCGCGTTCTCCACCTTCTCCGCTTCAATATCTGGGGATTGCGGAGGCGGAACAGGTCCGTATGACGGCTCGGGCGCTGAAATCCAAGACTCGCGCTTGCTTCTGAACAACCGTTCGACTAGATGTTGGTCGCAAGTTTACTCAGTGGGGACCTGCCAAGCAATATCAGGTTTCACATGCCATTTCACATTTCATCTAGACTGTTAGACTGAGGTTATCGTTATATTTCAGTTGGCAGGCGGAGGGGTAGTGATTAGCTCTCCAGAAGAGGAATAAGGTGAGCGGCTCAACAATTATTGGCTGGATCGGCTAAGTTAGATCTCTTAGATCTTGAGATTTGAGGTGGAGAGCGCGTACATAGTAATTTAGCAACTGAATTACTGTCGCAGTGTGGTGTCGGTGTGTATTTTGATGTGTGGGGTGAGGAGTGCGGGGTTGAGGAGTGCGGAGTGCGGTGGACAAGCCTAGCTCATCTCCTTTCCCCATCTTCCCCCTTCCCTCCCCCCGCACTCCAATTAGAAGGGCCAGGTCACTTGGAGTTGTGTAAATGCCAATTTAAGCTACGCCGAAACTAGCAAGTCCCCCACCACGTCGGTTACAAGATATTGAAGTCTCACAATGCTGTACCACCACCTCGGACCACCTCGCGTTACTCAGACAGATGTCAACCAAATTCCGACGCCAGGATCACAGCAGCTAGGGTGCGAGCTTCTGTGCCAGCTGTATGGTAGATTCGGATCCCGAAGCTTGAATCATCTCAAACCAAATATTGATACGGAGTATGCAATTAACTATTCTACTTGATACATGTCTACTATTTGTCACGTCCACCTCCAACCCCCCTTCTACTAAGCGGTCAGCTCCTTGATCCTCCTCTCGATTTCCGGAATCTGCCGAAGCTGGAGGTCCAGCTCATCCTTTTCATCCTCTAGTTCAAGCCATTTCTTGGCATCCAACTTTGTGAACACAAACTTCCCGTGCCCATCAAACTGCAGAATCCGCGTGTGGTACTTCCACAGACTCCTCCTGTGGCTGACTGTCATGAGCGTGATACCGAGGCTCTTGGCCGTCTCGTACATGACCTTCTCTGTCTCGAGCGTTACACTCGACGTGCATTCGTCTAGAATGGCGTACTTGGGCTTATGGTAGTACAACCGCGCCATCGCGATGCGCTGTTGCAGCCCACCGGAGAGCGTCTCACGCCATTCCGCCTCGGCTTCCCAGCCATCTGGGTACGAAGCAACGAGGAACTCAAGGCCGAGGACTTTAAGAATATCGAAGAGGTGCGCGTCCGTCACACCCTTGGCTCGCATATGCCTCACAGAGTCGGGATAGATGACTTGTTGACGCAGGGAGCCGCGACTCAGATAAGGGCGCTGGGGAATGTAGAAGATATCGGAAAACGGCGGCTTGCGTACCGTCCCGCCGTAGACGGGCCACAGGCCACCAAGGATGCGGAAGAGGGATGATTTACCACAGCCATTCGGCCCGACGACGAGAAGGTGGTCGCCGGGTTTGAGGGAGAAGGAGAGGGCTTTGACGAGAACATCGCCGTTAGGTGAGATAATTGGCCTATAATCGTAAGTAAGGGGTTTTGAAACATTTCCGATAGAAAACTTACACGTTAATGAACTCAATGTCTTCGCTTTCAACGACTTTGCCTCGCCCGCGAAGCATCGCCGCATTCTCCTCTGTGCTAGCCGAAGAGACGAGTTCCTTCTCAAACTTTCCGGCTTGAATGTCGTCCATAACATCCAATAGCGATGCCACTCTCGAGGTATAACCCGCGAGCTCCATAACTTCTTTGTACGAAAACATTACGCGGCCAAACGCGTCAGAGGAGGACAGCAGCATTCGCCTATTGGTGACGAAATTCTGTGTCCTGTCACCCATAGTTGAAGCTGCTGGCGCCCCAGGGATTTTGACGAACACAGGGACACTGCAGAGTATTAATCCTAGAGCACCCCACACGTACTTGAGCACGTAATCCTCCATGATTCCGTGGTAGAATCGTCGCCGTAGGATGTAATTGACGTGCTTAATGAGCGTGAAGTAACCCCTGTCCAGGGTATCCTTCTCTGCTTCATGTCCGGAGTAGAGAGCAACCTCTTCCGAGTAATCTATTAACCGAGAGTGTTGGAAGCGGAACTCTCCCTCCAGCCGCGCTTCTTCTGCGACGTATTTTCCGAACGGTGGCGTGAGCATTCTCATCACACTGGCTGATAACTGCACGAGCAGAGACATGAAGAACAAGCCTTCACCTCCAACGCTCCGGGATAGCGAATAGTTGTAGATGCTCTATAGACCTGTTAGCACATGTCCTGGCCTCCACATGATATATACTTACCATATCCAATATCGGCTTCGCCAAATTAGAGTACAACTCCGCCAGACTATTCGAAAACTTTGTAACATCAACGGTGATTAACTGGTCGGCGTTCTTTATCCGATCGTCAAGTGCTGAGATTCCGTAGAAAGTCATATTTGACAGATATTTGTCGTGTATATGGTTTGTGAGTCGGCTTCGATATTGTAGCGCGAGTCTACATTGGTGATATGATAACTTAATGCAAGTTAGCCCGCATTCCTTCACTTGATATCACTCACTTACCATAGAATTGGTGAAGGTCGCCGGCACGGCAACCATCATCCACCAGACAATCCCAATCAGGAAGTCCTTCCCCTTCCCACGGACCAGATTGCTGACAAGCTTTCCATCCAAATCCGCCACGTATACACTGAGGAGCGTCCGTACGACAAGAAAGAAGCTGTGGCTTATGAGTAGCCTCACTTCGGTGCTCTTCCATCCCGGAATGATAATCTTCAACAGCCTGAACAGACTCTTGAAGAACTCCCGGTTCAGCTCCACCTTCTTCCGCCTTTGGTTCGGATCGTCGGTTGCAGCTGTGCCTCCATACTTCTTGGACTGGCTATGCCGTATCGAGGCTGCCTTCTGTTCGTTTATAGCACTCCGTATCCGGTTTATGAGCGATATGAACAGAGTCAGATAAACGGTTCGTGATATCGCCGTGCGGTGTTTGAGGTATAAGGTTGTGAGTTCTCTAATAATAGACTTGACTGTCCGCTCAGGGAGAATCTTTGATTGTGCAGCCATGGCTGGTGGCCCTCAGGCTTGGAAGGGGCGGCTCCCTCGAGCGTGGGGATGACGTTGTGCTCGTACCCAGTCTCGGCCGTTGCCATGCACAAACTAGGCCTTGGGAAGATTATTCCATTGGTTGCTCCAACAAGTCGGTACTCGAGTGTTAACTACTCTTCTTTGCGCAGAGCAGTCACTGCTAAATTTCTAGCTGTAGCGATGCGTTGAGGTGTTGTGTTGTTGAGAATAGGGCCTCCTCGGCTGCCAATTGTGAAATCCGGGGTACTGATAAACGTCGATTGGTTGGATTCCCGTTCATGACATGTGCTTATGCATTGATGCCTTAATCGCAAGGCTTCAATTTTTTTTTTTTGGGACAACTCTAACCATCAAGGATTTTATGGTAGTCACCAAAAGCCACAATTTCGCGGATTTGTACTCTCTTTACAACACAACAGTTCACAAATTAAAAATTGTACAATATGGCTGAAAACTTTTACGACGAGATCGAAATTGAAGATATGACCTACGATGGGACCCTGCAAATCTACCACTACCCATGCCCGTGTGGCGATAGGTTCGAAATCGGCGTTGCGGATTTACTGGACGGTGAAGATATCGGTGTCTGCCCCAGCTGCAGTCTGATGATTAAGGTGATATTTGAAGTGGTAAGAACTTTGAAAGAAATGTGTAAATTACCCCTCTAATATGTATCTAGGACGATCTTCCTCAACCCCCACCTAGTCCTAGCCAAGCTGCCCCTCCAGTGCCGGTTTGAACATCAAATGAAAGAGAAATGAAACCAGAACCAATATTGAGCGTTGCTCAACGGCAAATCGAATGAGATATTCTCCAGGGTATGGGCTGTCCAAATAACAAGAGCCGCAACGAGGCCAGGTCCGAGGAGTCTAGCTGTTAGGCCAACATAAAGCGCCCCGACAGGCTGGATTCTGAAGGTCTACACCAGGAAGGCAGTCCAAAAACAGGACGGTCTCCTGTGAGGGAAGTAAGTCAGCATGGGACGGATAGACTTCCGATATAGTTTCTGAAGACGGTACTCGTGCCGCCCCAAAGTCCGAAGAGGGGCTGTATCTAGCTGAGGATTGATACTACCAAGCCAATAGGATTTATCGCCTTTGCTCTAATTCAGTAATTGGGAGTCTCTATTTCAATGACAGTTGCTGTAGTCACTACTATCATGCATAGTCCCTCCGCGGACTTCGGGTATGGCTGGTGGGAGAGATGATGGCGTGGACTAGCTGGATGCCTGATAGCTGTTGGCCTCAGGAGTACGCTACAGTTGCAAAAGAAGTAATTTAGACAGAGCCTTTGGTTAAAGCCACCATACACAGCCACTTGTTTCATTTATTGTGTAAAACGTTGGTGATCTTTCTGCCAGCTTCTGCAATACAATACATAAATCCTTGATCATACAGTGGAACAATCCGAGTTAGTCGATGACTTCCGTAAGATCAACGCCGACCTCCTTCTCCAACATCTCGTTCAGTGTTGATCCATCTCTAATATAAACCCATTTCCCTTGGCCCCCACCCTCCTTCTGGTTTTGCGACTCGCCCGAAACAACCCAGTCGTAACGCTTCGGTCCTGATATTGGGGACGAAAGCCATATCTGCTTGTTGGGCGGCTGCTTGTTGATAACGTATGTGCCAATCGGAGGGAATATAAGAGTTAAAACGCCAGCCTGGAGTTGCTATTAGTATAATGGCGTGTGATAGCGGTTGAAGGGAAACTTACGCTGTACTCAACATCGACATCTTCTCTGGCTTCTTGAAGCTCTTCAAAGGTTGCCACAAGATGGTCTATGCAAGTATCTGCTGCCTCGTGGTACTCCTCGATGGTGAGTTCCGTGGGTTCGTGGGCCTTTGCCTCGGGTTCTAGGGTCTTTGCTGGTGGGTTGTCCGTCTCTGGGTAAATGCCCTTCGAAGTGGCTTGCGAGCATGATAAATTTCTAACAGGGCCTGATATGCATGACTTATTGGCGGCAACCACGGGCAAGATTGTCTTTGTGCTCAGAGCTCGAACTGCTGGTACCTGGCATCGTTGTGACGTAAACAGAACATTGCGGTTTGCCAACCTGGATATTCTGAGAATGTTGACGCGCGACATGGAGAATATAGATGCCCAGCCGGTAATACAGTTCTTGGATAGGTGTCTGTGAGAGCAACGGTCGTCAATGAGGAACCCGTAAGGTGAATTTGTGACGATGCCGAGCCCAAGCTCTCTGGTGCTCCAACCCCACAATGTCGAATGGTACCCCTGCAAGCGACTTTTGTAGATATCTCCGCCTTGTCGGCGAGGGGCCGATGGGACAATCAGTCGCCTCTTAACGCAGAAAAGCTCTCAGGTGAACACAAACTCGTACCTAAAAAAGGGATTTTGTGTTGGAAACCGCGTCGCTACATCTTTACAACTTAACCTTTGGGCTTGGTCAAGATGATTAACGCCGTTCTTGTCTTCAACAACGCTGGGCAGCCGAGGCTGACGAAGTTCTACACCCAACTGGTTCGCATCGATGGCTCGACCTAAAACACGTTTGGATGCTAATACAGACAGGAAACAAGTGTACAACAGAGGCTGATCTCCGAAATATTCACGCTGGTCTCAAATCGCTCGCCTGGGTCCTGCAACTTTCTGCCACTGCCACCCCTCCTCTCCTCTCAGTCCACTCCGTCTCATGCGGCTTCCACAACACCATCAAATGACGTGCCGTCACTCGTAACATACCGGCACTATGCGACACTCTATTTTATCATTATATCCACATCGACCGAGTCGCCTTTAGCACTAATCGACCTTATCCAGGTTTATGTCGAGGCTTTGGACAGGCTATTTGAGAACGTCTGCGAGCTAGATCTTATCTTCAACTTCGAAACTCTACACGCAACACTGAGCGAGATTATCGTCGGGGGGGTAGTGGTGGAAACGGGGCTGGATAAGGTCGTCGAAGGGGTGAGGAGTCAAGGGAAGATCCCAAGGCGGCCGGTAAATGAAGGTGGCCTGGGAGGCGGGTTCTCGTCATGGACAGGCAGGTGAAAGTCTCAACCGAGCAGGAAATACCACAAAGACGTCCCCTGGACGAGGCCGGCCGATGAGCGGGCTATTGATTCGGGGTTCTCACTCATAGAGGGCGACATGGAGACATATGGAGAGGAACCACGGGGGTCTCATAATTAAAGCCCCAAGGTCTCCAGGATGGACCAACAATATCGTATAACTATCTCTCTACGCAGCTCCAGAGTAGAGTTTATCTCATACAGGAACCAGGCTCCATAAATAATACAAAAAGCCAACGCCCCAGATCAATATAACTCCTGGCCCTCTATGCAATATTTCCACAAGATCTCATCCCCGACTATTGTACATTTGGTTTAGAACCAGCCCCCTCTGCTCCTTCTCGTCGCTGCCCTCTTTCCGGCTTCGTCGTCCATATTGAGCCCGTCAATTCGCGGAATTTGTTTCGCAGCTGCAACTGGTAAGCTTATCGTCGTTATGCAGGATTGGAAGTACTGACCCCTTGAAATGGTTCATTTTCTTGCTTCCAGTCGGCGAATAATACACCGTAGACGGTAACAACTGCAGGCTGAATTAGACAATATCCCATAGCTCCATACGAGGCCACATACAAACTATGCTGCCTAATTGTGCAATCTTCACAGCCTTTGTCCACTTTGGCCTGGCCCACTTCAGCTTGCTCCTTCGTCGATATCGTCGTTCCAAACGGAATTGATGCTTAGTAGAGAGCTTCTCGAAATCCGGCGGCCAAAGTCGCTTCGCCCTATACACATTCGTATCGATATAGGTCGGTCCTTTCTCCAGGGCCCTCAATACTGGCGTGCGAAACATCGTAATTGCGCTTCAACACAGCTCAGCATTTCAGATTTGGCCTTCGATATCCGTGAGGCCAAAACTTAGTGCCAGGACCACAAGGCTCACCGCCTAAATTTTGCCGCGGGGAACACCACCGCCCACCACCCACCACCGATTTTAGTGACTACAACCACAGCCCCTCTTCTCAGCTTGTGACTTGTCGCAAGGCTTCGAAAATATAGTAGGATAAGGCCTGGCAATACTGTCAGGACTTCTTCTATCGACTCGCCAATATGGCAGCTTCAGATGCTGCGGCGAAAGCCTTAGACGATCTCCATCTCTCAAAAACCAAAGAATTGAAGGGTGTACGTATAAATTCAGCTATGAAAATGTTTCCACCTCTGACTGTTACAGACTGAGAAAAGAGACTCTCTTATTGCTGTCGAAAAGAAATATCAAAAGAAGTGGCAAGATGATGCGGTTTTCCAGCCAAATGCTCCAAGCATCACCGATATACCCCTCAGTGCGCTATCGGCCAAGGAAGTCCGCGAGAAGCACCCGAAATTTTTCGGTACGATGGCTTATCCATACATGAACGGTACTCTCCATGCGGGCCACAGTTTCTCTGTCAGCAAGATCGAGTTCACTGCGGGATGGGCAAGAATGCAGGGCAAGAGAGCTCTGTTCCCCATGGGTTTCCATTGCACAGGCATGCCCATTAAAGCCTGCGCAGACAAGCTTATTAACGAGATCAAGCTGTTTGGCAAGGACTTCTCTGGATATTCTGAGGAAGATGAAGCCAGCGACAAGTTGAAGGAGAAAAGCCCGCCCGCACCAACCTCTGCTCGTGAAGATGTCACAAAATTCACAGCCAAAAAGGGAAAGGCTGCTGCAAAGGTCGTGAAGATGAAATATCAGTTCCAGATCATGCGCGCCCAAGGCATCCCAAATGAGCAGATTCACGAATTTGCCGACCCAAGCCATTGGCTGGACTTCTTCCCCCCGCTCTGCAAGCAAGATCTTACCAACTTCGGCTGCAGAATCGATTGGAGGCGATCCTTCGTCACCACCGATGCCAACCCCTATTACGATTCATTTATCAGATGGCAAATGAACCGTCTTCGCGAACTGAAGAAAATCAAGTACGGCAAGCGTTATACAATCTACTCTCCCAAGGATGGCCAGCCCTGCATGGACCACGACCGAAGTGAAGGCGAGGCCGTCGGACCACAAGAATATACAGCTCTCAAGCTGAAGGTGTTGGAATGGGCACCAGAGGCGAAGAAGGCGGTCGCCGGTAAGCTGCCACAGGGGTCAGATGCCTTCTTTGTGCCAGCCACTCTCCGACCAGAGACCATGTACGGTCAAAACTGCTGTTTTGTAGGGCCCAAGATTACCTATGGCGTTTATAAAGTGTCAGAGAAGGAGTACTATATCATCACCGAGAGAGCTGCCCGCAACATGGCGTATCAAGGTGTGTTCCCGGTGAACGGCGTTTATGAGAAGGTTGCGGAGGTTACTGGTGCGGACTGCGTTGGCACTCTTGTCAATGCTCCGCTATCTATTCACACGGAGGGTATTCGAATCCTCCCTATGGATTCCGCCTTACCCACCAAGGGTACAGGAGTTGTTACCTGTGTACCTTCGGATTCTCCAGATGATTTTGCCACGATTATAGATCTAGCAAAGAAGGCTGAGTACTATGGCATCAAAAAAGAATGGGCGGAGTTGGAAATCTTGCCTATTATCGATACGCCTAGCTTTAGCAACCTCACTGCTCCGTTCTTGGTTAAGAAGCTCAAGATTGCCTCACCAAAGGACACAAAGCAACTTGAGGAGGCAAAGGAGTTGGCATACAAGGAAGGTTATTACCAAGGTACCATGTGTTACGGTCCATTCACTGGAGAAAAGGTCGAGGACGCGAAGCCAAAGGTCAGACAACAACTGCTTGACTCTGGTGGTGCCTTCGCCTATTCCGAGCCAGAGAAGCGTGTTGTCAGCCGATCTGGAGATGACTGTTGTGTTGCGCTAATGGACCAATGGTACTTGGATTACGGAGAGGAGTCCTGGAGGAAGGTTGCGCTTAAGCATGTTGACAATGCCGATGGAAATGGCCTCGAGACTTACTCGCAAGAGACAAAGAATGGCTTCGAGGGCGTTCTCAACTGGCTCAACCAATGGGCGTGCGCTCGTAGCTTCGGTCTCGGATCCAAGCTCCCATGGGACCCTCAATTCTTAGTCGAGAGTTTGAGTGATTCTACGATTTATATGGCTTACTACACCGTTGCCCATCTCCTCCACGGAGACATCTTCGGCAAAACTCCAGGTCTTATCAAGGACCTCAAGCCAGAACAGATGACTGATGAAGTCTGGGACTACATCTTTGCCCGCCGCGAGGTTAGCGAAGATGTTCTTCAGAGCAAGATTTCCCTGGAAGGCCTGGAGACGATGCGCAGAGAGTTCGAGTACTGGTATCCTTTGGATCTCCGAGTATCTGGAAAGGATCTGATCCCCAACCATCTCACTTTCTTCATCTATATCCACATCGCCCTCTTCCCTCCGGAATACTGGCCAAAGGGTGTCCGTGCCAACGGCCATCTCACCTTGAACGGTGAGAAGATGTCGAAGTCTACCGGAAACTTCATGACTCTCGACGAGATGGTTAAGAAATACGGAGCTGATGCCAGTCGTATCGCTCTTGCTGATGCCGGTGATGGAGTCGCCGACGCCAACTTCGAGGAAGATGTTGCCGATAACAACGTCCTCCGTCTGTTCACATTAAGAGAGTGGATCGAAGAGCAAGTGAAGGAGCAGGAGACCCTCCGCACTGGCGACAAGAACGACTTCCTCGACCGTCTGTTCGACAACGAGATGAACGCCATTGCCCGCGAAGCTAAGGGACACTTTGATGACACCAACTACAAGCTGGCTCTCAAGTCTGGCCTCTACGACTTCATCGGCGCCCGTGACTTCTACAGAGAGGCATCTACCGCTGCTGGCATCAAGATGCACAAGGATCTTGTCTTCAAGTACATTGAACTCCAGGCACTTCTCCTCGCTGTCATCGCGCCCCATTGGTCCGAGTACATCTGGCTCGAGGTCCTCAACAAGTCCGCAACTGTCCAGGATGCTCTCTTCCCAGAGATCCCAGCACCAGATGCCAGTCTGTCCGCTATGCGCGAGTACGTCCGTACCACGGCATCCAACATCACTTCAGCAGAGGCTGCTCAGCAGAAGAAGAAGGCAAAGGGCAAGGATATCAGCTTCGACCCCAAGAAGCCCAAGAAGCTTACCATCTTCGCCGCGAAGAGCTTCCCCGCCTGGCAGGAGAAGTACATTGATCTCGTCCGCGAGGTCTTCGACCCCTCCACCAAGGCCTTCAACGACAAGGAGCTCACCCCCAGGATCTCAAAGATGGGAGAGATGAAGAAGGCAATGCCTTTCGTGCAGGGCCTCAAGAAGCGTCTCACCGGAGGAGAGAAGCCAGAGACTGTGTTTGACAGGAGATTGGCATTCGACGAATCAAAGACGCTGTTGCAGATGGTTCCTGGATTGAAGAAGGCGGCTGGATTGAAGATAGTGGATATTGTCGAGGTTGCTGAGGGTGGGGCTACGGGCGTCCTGGTTGGTGGTGGGGAGGCTGCTTCCCTCCCGCCGCCTGCTGCGGGGGCTGTTCCTGGGGTCCCGACTTTTCACTTTGAGAATGTTGAAGAATAGATTCTAGATATAAGCAAAGAGGTAGTGAGTAGTAGTATAACGTAAAAGTTGTTTAGATGCAGTCATAATTGAATCTGTTGAAATAACAATAACAATAACCACATGTGATCATTTCCTTGGCTACCATGGAGTGATGCTCCCCAGCGATTTACGTGTGTACCCGAGTTATTCCACCATCCAGCGATAGGGGTTGAAGCTCTACCTTATCCAGAATTCTCACAAGCCGAGGTTCGTTCCCCACATTTAAGGTCCGCCGTTGCGTTGCCGGTGCGTTGTGTTCGGATAAGGTTCTTTGGTCCCAAGAAACCACATTGGTTTCGTTTATAAACCCCAAGGTCCCAACCTCCTCAGCATTGACAGTAAACAGCATCTAACGAAGACATACCATACCATCAATTCAGAAACCATCATCAACCACACTCACACCGCGAAACCAACCCCATCCACCCCGCCAAAATGCCACCCCCCTCCAAAGTCGCCCCAACTGGCAAAGTAACAACCTACACCGGCCCCAAGACCTTCTCCCACCGCCTGATCGGCGGCCTCATACTCTTCTACTCCGTCTCCTACGCCGCCAAGGGCTACATCATCCCCGGCACCGCGCTGTACGAAGCGCTGCAGAAATCCTGGCCGGGCGGCGCAGTGCACTACTTGTGGCTGCAGGAGAAGATCGTCATCCCCGTCATCGCGATCCATGGCGTTGAGACGGCGATTATGGCGTATCGACTTGCGGGCGCGGGGGTGGGCGCGGGGAGTGGGCTGTGGTGGAAGTGGATTGCGAGTTGTTTGATTGAGGGGGTGGGGAGCCATCAGAGGCTTTCGGCGTTGATTAAGGGGGAGTAAATGGAGGGTGAGGAGCTGGGAGAAGGTGCATTTATGGTGGGATAGATGTACGTAGTTATGAGAATTAGAACTTGGGGAGAGAGAACAACGCCGTATAATTGCACCCTTACATTGTATCTAGTGAAATAGAAATAGAGGACTAGCGGACAACGCTATGGTATGGTATGTACAGATTGATTTATGAAAATTTCCAAAGAGTGTTTGTCCCGAAACCCAGGGAACCCGAGAAGACCTATTATGTACGCAATATTAAAACAGTGTTATAAAAAGAAGTTTCCAAGCTATCCCCGTCCGCCTGCCAGAAGTGATGACGACGATCTCTCCGATTTCCAAACTCCTGCTTTGCCCGATAACTTGCCCCGTGCTTCGCTCGATCGTGGGTATATTTAAGTGTAGATTTCGATATTTGATTATAAGATTATATATAGTGGTCCTCCATTATATCCCGAGCCGGTGCTGGGCTCGACATAAATGTGTAGATGATGCTGATTGTGTGTTTATTCCTTGCTCTCGTCGCTCTCGCTCTCGCTCGCGCCGGGGGTGGGTGGTCGTGCGCCAGGCATCGGTGGTAGGTTTGTGTTCTGGGTGGGGGATGGGATGGGCTTTCTGGCCGTGCCGGGGCGGCTGGCTGTCTTGGGCCTCTCGGCGAAGCTGGGGGCGTTCAGGGTCTTGTCGTCTTGAGGGTTGTCGAAGGTGTCGCCGCTGATAGCCTTGCGAGAGCGAGGGCTTGGGGCACGGTCGGGGAGGGCGGAGGTGGCCTTAAGGCGCTCTTCGGTCTCGCGGAGTGCTTCCTCGAGGGCTTTGAGTTCGGACGTGTGTGTTGAGACGAGTCTCTTCCTTGAGTGTGTTAGTAAATGTTGAGCCGCTGAAGCGTCGGTCAAGGGACTGAGGGAAGGCTGCATACTTTTGGTCAACTGCAGCATCGAGGTCTGCGATGCTGTTGTCCATCTTGAATAAATCGTCTAGAGTGATGGAAAAATGGCGAGCCATGGTGGATTGCGGTCGGCGTCCGCTGGGCTTCCATTCCCTGTCCAACTCTTCGTCTGAGCGTCGGGTAATAGACATAATGGGCAATGAGGGGGTGTTGGGTGTTTGGTTGTATGTGAGAAAGTCGCAAGACAGATCAGAGGCTAGAAAGTTGCTTAATGAACCTTGTCGCAAGATGGTATAATAGAACTACCCGACTTGATAAAATGTTGAGAAGAACAAGAAAGCAGAATTATAGAGAGGGGGGGCAGGGGGTGATTTGGGAGTGGAAGGAGTGGAAGGGGAAGGTATCAGCAGTCGGTGATTATTGAAGCCACTAATCCGGGGTCAGGTTGCAAGAAAGGGGCGGCGGGGCTAGCGTTAAGCGTCAGCAGGAGAATGTGCAAGTACGAGAACGGAAAGGGGATGCGGGGAGATGAGGATTTGATATTTAACAAGAAATAGAGCGGTATCTATCCATCTGTGCCGTTTTTATTGGTATGGATAACTTATATGATGATGAAGAGATGAGATGACGACGTTTTGTCCAGTTGATCTGATTGATCTGGCCTGCACGTGATTAGACATCCTAAAAGTTTGTCTCCTCGTGCACCTTCCAACTACAACACCAAAGAGAAAGAGAAAGAGAAAGAGCCGACCAATCCACCCTCGAGCCTACCGAACACACTTCATCTCAGGATTTCGAAGCCGCAAAGGTCGTCCCGTTCAAAGACGATCTGCTGTTGCTTCGAAACCACCCCCCAGAGTCAGCCGTGGCTCCTATTCACCCTCACGCACGACGCGACAGTCTCCTCGACGGCTGGCGGGGAGGCTATCGTGGAATGAATAATATAACGGCCTACACTCCCCTTGAATCGCTACTACTGTTTCAATCCTTGGCCGTCTTTGGGACCGAAGCGAACGTGTTCGCACGAATCTCGGACCTCCTCAAGAACAATATCCTCGTACGAGATGGCGACCGATACGACCCAGGCCGACTCAGCCCTGATTCCCTTCACGAACTGTATCTGCAGCTACTGCGCGAAGAGCTGAAGAGCGAACTAGAAAGTGAGACACCTGGCGACGCGAGCCCGTCAAAGAAGCGCAAGATCCAGAGCCCGCCGCTCCCGACAATCAAGGATGCGAAGGAATACAGTGGAAAGCTTCCGCAGCTGGTAGATAGACTATATGCAAGATACAGAGATCAAACCATACAGGCCATTCGGGATGACGAGCGGAGATACGATGTGCTCAAACGAGAGCTCAAGGAAATCGAGCGTGGGGAGTGGGACGAAAGGATCATGAAAGACGAACGACGCGGGCAACAAACATCCAGCGAAGATCCCCGGCGGGCACCAAGTGTACCAATTGTCTCTGAAAAGCCTGAAAGGCCCGCGTCCCGAGGTGCAGAACTCCAGACGGCACCAGCAGCCTCTCCGCTGGCTTCACCACGGACGGAGCAAAGACATGAAGGCTTGGCAATCAGCGACGTTCTCAGCACTCAAGAAGTTCCCGCATCGCCTCGACCCCTTGAAAAGGATTCGGTGCCTCGTGTACGGAATGGAAATGTCCCACCCATAAACCACCACAGGACGCCTAGCATCGACCGCCCCCATGGACCTTCTCCACTACAACCGGACCAAAGACCGCCCTCTCTTGACCGAAAGTGGGAGAATTACCAACCTCCTCCAACCCAGCCATATTCTCCTCATACTCCGACTCCACACGGATATTCGCCTTACCCACAGGGGCAATATGCCCCGGTGTATCCCCAGCGAGGCTCTTTCTCTGGTCCTTTGCCACCCGCTCGCGGCCCAGTTCCTTCTTCCCCTCACGCGGCACAGCCTATAGTCTTGCCGCCTTCAGGCCAGCAAGGCCCTGGCTCCCCAGCAAAGCCCTTAGATCAGTTAGCAGAAGTGGCTGAGCAACAATACCGACCGCAACAGCAAGGCCAGGGGCAACAAATGGCTCAGTACCCTCGAACCCCTGGCCAACAAACGGGACCATACCCACCCGGTTCTGGCCTTCAAGTGTCCCAATATTCCCCAGCCCAGTATGCTCAACCTCCCCCACAGCAACCATTCAGAGGCAACGGGCAGCATCCGCAAGGGCAACTGCCTGCACACTGGAACCAGTACCAACAGCTTCCACCTGCAAACTACTACCCTGCGCCTGCTCCACAGCCCGGGCAACGGCCGTTCCCAGTTAGGCCAGAAATTGCACAGCCGGAGCAAAGGCAGTACAACTCGCCATACAATCCAAGTGGTGGCCAGCCTCCGGCTTTCAAATCAGCCCCCGCTCCCAAGCCTCTGCTACGCGATACTCAACCAAACACACCAGTTACAAGGCCGGTTCTCAGCACTGGAAGGGCTACCAGATGGACACCAGTGGCGACTCCCGGAACTCCCAAAGCATCTATTTCCCCCGATGCACCAGCTTTCGAACCTCTGAGCCCGCAGCCCAAATCTTCTACCTTGCCCAAGGACAAGGCAAAGAAGCCTCGTGGCCGACCACCCCGCATCAGGGCTGGCAGCACAGCCTCGCCTGCGCCGCCGCCAGCACCACCATCGCAAGTTGCAGATGCCAAGGTGAAGAAAGAAACGCCTGGCCTCCGCTCTCTCCAAGATCTCGCACTCGCTACTTCCGCCGAAGACACGGCAGGAGCAACAACCGACGAGACCCCCGTCCCCACTTCCTCACCTCTTCGCAAGCGCAAACGCAGCCCTGCGCACGCACCGTCAAAGCCTCCTACCCACGTCCTCTGGACGCGCAACTTCTCCAGAATCTCGGCGTCGGCACTCGAGCGTATCGGTGCCCACCGCTGCGCGAGCACTTTCGCCAATCCCATCAAGGAGCGCGACGCGCCGGGTTACAAAGATGTGATTCTACGCCCGCAAGACTTGAAGTCGATCCGCTCTGCAATCACGGCTGGCTCACGCGCTGGGCTCGCCGCGGTGGCTAGTATGGATGAGGAGAGTGATAAGGGGCAAGCGAGTCTGCAGCTCGCTATCAGCGAAGAGCTCGTGCCGCCGAAGGGTATCGTGAACAATGCGCAGCTGGAGAAGGAGCTCATGCTCATGTTTGCGAATGCGATCATGTTCAACCCCGATCCTGATCACGGCTTCGGCCGCGCATTCTCAGCGAGAAAGGGAGCCCTTGCGGAAGTTGAAGATAATAGAGGGTATACGCTTGATGAGGATGGAGTGGTGCAGGATACGAGGACGATGTTTGCGGATGTGGAGAAGATTATTGGGGAGCTGAGGAGCGCGGAGCAGAGGAAGAGCGAGGAGAAGGAGGGGCTTGAGAGGAGGGCGAGGGAGAGCGAGAGTGTGGATGATGTGGACCAGGAGGGGCCGGGGAAGAAGAGGAAGAGGGGTTAGGTGGTTGATTCTTGTACGATGATGGCGCGAATTGGTGTGCGGTTGGTAATTTTAGGGGGGGGCTCTTGGTTAGGCGCAGTTGCTAACGGGATATGGCCCAATAAGCAAGGATAGTAATTCCGTTGAGCTGTGTGCTTCTGTAGAATTAACCACATACGATGGGGCGACAATATATATTTTGAACCTCTGCTACGTGTGTCTTCATGTTCGAGTTCATACAGTCCAATGTATGAAATAGGAGCATGCATACGGATGTGGCGTAGTTCTGTTTCCCACGACGCTTGATCTTCGGAACTAACAATGCATCATCCATCTGCCTTCTTCAACCAAGGCATTTTCCACTACAACATAAACTCCACGACCTAAAATGCAGCCACGGCTCCCATTCGACTTCTCACACGCGCCTCCCTGATGGCTCTTAATCGAACAACCAGAGTCCTGGCCGGATGGAATCGATGAATGGGTTACGGGCCTACGAACCTCGGCTTCGAACCTTTTTGGCCGTTTTCCACGAGCGTGAAGATGCCTTTATGCAGGAAGGCAGGCTTGATGAGAACCACAGACTCTCGCTGCCTATGCGGGAAAGCTGGGAGAGTGGCGATTTCTGGGTCGTGTATGCTGCGAGCAAGAGTTTTGCTTTTTATGCGGTATTTTGGAAGTATTTGGATACGCGCTTTTCTGGGCCTGCAGCTGAATTAGATGGGGATGAGTGGGAGAGGAGGACTGGGTTGCTGGATGAGGAGGAGGTTATGGAAATTGACAGCTTTATCGACCAGAAAGTTGATGAATTGAAAAACTCCGGTCTTGGCATGGGAACCTGGCTAAGTTAATTTAGCGTATATACGATATTATATATGAATCTACCCCATATTAGAGCTATATTTCCCCATCTCCCTGATCCGAGGCCCATAAAACCAAAAGACGAACGGGATCGGAATATTCAACACCGAGACGATGGCGAGCACACTGAACGCCCAATCATTCCCCAGACTTCGGAACATCGACGGGACAATAAGCGGGAATGCAGCAGCGAGCACGCTTCGCATGAATGTGTTTGCGGCTACGGCGCTGGCGCCCCATCGCTGGAAGGTGTCGACGAGGTAGTTTAGGGCGCTGGTGAAAATTGTGTAGTAACCGAAGCCCATCATGGTAACTCCTATTACGGCTGCTATCCATGGGAGCTGTGGGGAAGCAGTCCATCCTATGATGAATAGTCCGCCGGATAGAATAACTGAGGCAATCATCATTGGCGGCAGTCGAGCCTCGGGTACCGGTTTGAAGTCGTTGGCTTCGTAGGCGATGTTATAGTATTTTTGATTTAGGGCGCTGAGTGCTGCTCCCATAATGATTCCTATAAGCACACCAAGGAACGGAAGAGATCCTACGAGCTCGTTCCATCCTCGTGCCTCTTGGAAGATGATGGGGAACGACGCCAGACTGGCATAGAACGTTCCATAGATGAAAGAGGAGTAAATAGTAACTGAGAGGCAAACTGGCGTCAGTAGCATCTGTAGAGGTCGCAGGCCAAACTTTATAGCGAGTGCCTTGATGGAAACAGCGGTTTCTTCCCATTCAGCATGCAGGGCCCAGTTCCCCGTGTTTTGTCTCAGCCTGCGTGCCTTTCTAACGAGCAATATCGGCACATAGGATTCTTCGATGAATATTAGACCTGGAATAAGTATCGAGGCCTGCAAGATGCCGGTAGTCTGATGCTTATGTTAATTAAGTTCTTCGCGCAATGATTCCCGGAACTCAGTTACATACATATTCAGTCCATCTCCAATTTGTGCCACTATAAATAATAGCGCCCCCAACGATGGGTCCCAGGGACTTGTAATTCTGTTAATGGCAATCAAATTTGCAGATCTGCTTCAACCTACCGGGCCTCCACAGACGGCGAGCGTGTAGCCGACAATAGCATTTCCCCGTTGAGATGCATCCCATATGTCAACGTAGACTCCTCCGGTGCAGGTGATCGGAGCAGCTCCAAAGAATCCCGTAAAGAACCGAGTAATCAGGACGGTTTGGATATCCTTCGCCGTCGCCGTCCCAAATGACATCACGATGGAGACGAAGAATGGGATCAAGACAGGCCATTTCCGGCCGTAAACCTCTGACAGCGGCGCCCAGAGTAGCGGTCCAAATCCCCAGCTGTTTGGTAAATCAGCAGTGGTCACTATGATACCAGTAGCTGGACTGACCCCAAGAGTAAGAGACTTGTCCCGATGATGGCCACATCTGGTGACACATTGAACTCATCGGCGACCTTGCTATTGGCAGGAGAGTAACTTATAGATCGATTAGCAACTTGGATACAACTTTGGATTCACAAGCTTTCTAACGCTGTGCTTGCCCACACGGATCCGAGGCTTGTCAGACTGTAAAGACCGCTCGTAACCACTTTTCTTGAGAACGACCAGTTCAGTGGGTTCGCTGTATCAGAAGGGCCATCGAAGTCAACAATACTGCCTTCGCTTGAATCATCTATATTGTCATGTGCAGCAGTGGAAGGCGACTGCCGCGAAATCTTCTCCGAGGGTGGTAATTCGGCCATATAGATAATTATTGATAATCAAAGTTTAAAGTTTACACAAATCCGCCACCGTGACATCCTTTATAACCCGAGCACTAAAATCTCACCAATGCAGGGATGCACAGACAGGAAGGTAGTGAATGGGCTTGATACTGAGAACTGGAGGTAAAGCTACTCTAATAACGCATGGAAGCTAAGGTGAAAGCGGTAGCGGCGTGATGGTTGGTGTCGGCCCTCTGATATCACGGGTCGGGTTAATAATTTGCCTGTTTGACGTCCATCATCCTCGACTCGACAACCACATGAGCCTTTGCTGTAATTGTCATATGCGCCATATTTTAATCTGGCAATGGATTGAAATTCATACTGGACGCAGTTTATTTTTTCTTGCGTCGGATATTGCGTAAGTTCTTTGCAGGGCCTTTCTAATACAGCACAATGGCTTCGACTGAGGGACTCGCACCGAGAGGCTCCCCTTGACTTGATGGACAACGCAACATCGCGTGACAAAGAAGATGCGTGTGTTTTATTATAATATAATATAATATAGTATATTATATTATATTACATAACAATACCCATGACAGCTTCGATTCTTGCTTTCCTCTCCTCGCGCGCTTTGGATATGGGAATACCATAAACTGCGTGATCATGCCGCTGTAGCCTCATTCTGCAAATACCACGACTTGAATCGGATCCCGGGGAGTGGCGGGTTGCACAGCCAATCAAATGCAGCTAATATCTACGACAGGATTGACGGGCCAGGTGAGCGGTATGCGAAACGGTGTCCGAACTTAGTGCAAGGCAAGGCTCCCAATATGGGGATGGTAACACCCAGGCATATTCGGCTTCAGCTAATATTTAGCACTGGCCAATTATGGCTTAAGTTCCTTGGAAGGAACGATACGAGACCTTGGCCAAAATTGGCCAAGGTCTTGTATCTATTAAGGTTGGATCCCTGGGAAGTGAGAAACGATGGAGGATTTCGCTACTGCTATGATTTCCCAGCGTCCATATAATTATGCTCCCAACCCTGTGTGGAGGAATCTATGACCCAGTTTCTCTGAGAATGCAGTCACGAACCGAAATTATGACCTCTTGCCAGGTCCTCCTTTTTGGCGACTTGGCCATTCGTTTCGAAGACGAGCTTCGCCAACTAGTTCACGTCGGGGGGAATGAGAGTCTTCGTTCGTTTTTCGATCAAGTTAGCTATGCTCTTCGGCAGGAATTTGGAAATCTTCCCCGCAGCCAGCAAGATCTATTTCCCCGGTTTACTACACTTGTTGATCTTGTCTCAAAGTTGGCGGAAACAGAAGGGAACCCCGTTTTGAGATTTACCCTTCTTCCAGTTTGCGAAATAGGCCAGTTCATTAGGTAAACTTGGAAATCCGGCCTTCCATGGACAAAATACTGACGAGACCCTGATAGATACTTTGGGGAGGGGTCAAGGCTGTACCCCAGTGCCACCGACAGCTACTGTTTGGGGCTCTGTGCAGGTGGATTTGCCGCTGCAGCTGTCAGCACATCCCATACTTTGGCGGAGTTGATCCCGGCAGGAGTCGAAGCTGTTATAACTGCCTTTCGAACCGCTCTCTGCACAGTAGGAATTTGCAATGATATAGAAGGGCCGAATCATGATAGACATCATCAGTCTTGGTCTGCGGTGGTAAATATCCAGGACGACGAAGCTTCTAAATTGATTAAACAATTTATTTTAGAAAAGGTGAGTGAGGACGAAGTGATACCCAACAACGACGGTTTAATAGGGGCTAACCAAAACCGTTGATCAAGGGTCTCCCCCATATTTCTAAACCGTATTTAAGTGCCATAACACCGTCGAATGTAACTATCAGCGGTCCTCCAAGCATCTTAAAGGAGTTCTTTGCAGCATATTCCTTGAAATTTTACTACATACCTGTCGAATTACCGTACCATGCGCCTCACCTTTTCCACCCGCGCGACGTTGATGAAATCATCTGCCGGTTTGATGACAAATTACTTGGTTCGTACAAGCCACGAATTCCCATTTGGTCTCCAGCATCTGGCAAGCCCATTCTTGCCGAAAACTTCAAGGCTCTGTTACATAAAGTCGTGACAGACACCTTACGCGGACCAGTTCAATGGAAGAATATTCTTGAATCAACCGCCAAGCTCCTCGGGTACAGGGATTTCCAAGAATGTGCAATCCACGCGCTATCATCCAATGCTTCCTCTCTCCTTTCATCGGCCATCTCAAGGGGCACCAAAATGCTCGTCACCGTTATTGACTTGTCTGCGAAAACCGGATCACTACCGCAACCTCGGAGACACTGTGGACGTTTGGACCAGTCAAAGATTGCCGTAGTTGGGTATTCAGGTCGTTTTCCAGACTCGGCGTCAAATGAGGAATTTTGGGAATTGCTGCATGCCGGGAAGGATGTCCACCGCCTTGTCCCTAAAGATCGTTTTGACTGGGAAGCACATTATGACCCTACTGGAAAAACCAAAAACACCAGTCGGGTCAAATATGGCTGCTTTATCAAGGAACCCGGGCTATTTGATGCTCGCTTTTTCAACATTTCTCCAAGAGAAGCTGAGAACACAGATCCAGCTCAAAGATTAGCCATCACAACTACCTATGAGGCTCTTGAAATGGCAGGAATGGTGCCCAATAGAACGCCATCAACGCAGCAGGACCGCATCGGCGTCTTCTACGGTGTCACCAGCGATGACTGGAGAGAAGTTAACAGTGGCCAAGATGTAGAAACCTATTTTATCCCCGGTGGAAACCGTGCATTTGTTCCAGGGAGGATTAGGTATGACATTTTGAAATACTGAGTTCGTATTTACTAATTCCAGATGATAGCTATTTTTTCAGGTTCTCCGGCCCCAGCTTAAGTATAGACACTGCTTGCTCCTCTAGCTTCGCCGCAGTTCAAATTGCTTGCAGTAATCTGTGGAGAGGAGAGTGCGACACTGCCATTGCAGGTGGAACCAATGTTCTGACGAACCCCGACAATTTTGCTGGCCTTGATCGAGGCCATTTCCTAACGACTACAGGTATTTTAACCCATCATTATAATAGGTCAGGTGAACCAGTTTAACCATGCATTTTCATAGGCAATTGTAATGCTTTTGACGATAAAGCTAGTGGCTATTGCCGCGCTGATGCTGTGGGTTCTGTCATTCTCAAAAGACTGGAGGATGCTCAAGCGGACAATGACCCTATTTTCGGTGTCATTGTAGGGGCATACACAAACCACTGTGGACAAACGGATTCCATCACTAGACCTCATGAAGGCGACCAAACATCTGTCTTCAAGCGCATCATTCGACACGCCAATGTGAACCCACTCGATATTAGTTACGTCGAAATGCACGGAACAGGGACTCAAGCTGGAGATGCGACAGAAATGAATTCTGTATTATCAGTATTTGTCCCTGAAAGGAAACGAATGCCAGATCATCCTCTCTATTTAGGTTCAGTCAAAGCCAATATTGGCCATGCGGAATCAGCATCCGGGGTCACTTCGCTCATCAAGGTGTTGATGATGATGAAGCACAATGAAATCCCACCCCATTGCGGAATAAAAACACGGATTAACCACAAATATCCCCTCGACCTGAAAGAGCGAAATGTTAATATAGCCGCTACGTCCGTTCCTTGGCATCGAACTGCTTCTGGGAAGCGGTCCGTTTTCTTGAACAATTTCAGTGCTGCAGGAGGTAACACAGCCGTACTCTTGGAAGATGCTCCAGTATTATCACATTCAAACGATATTAGCAGTGATCCTCGCAGCACCCATCTCGTTGCCATTACTGGAAAGTCTGCAAAGTCGTTGAACGATAATATCAAGTCTCTTATTAAATTCCTTGAGCTGAATCCAGACACCCCGCTACCTGCACTATCATACACGACTACAGCAAGGCGAATGCACTACTCACATAGGACAATCTTTTCAGGATCAGACATAAAATCTATCTCAGATGCATTAAAGAACAGGGCGGCAGATTCGGACTTGAAGCCACTTTCAAACACAGCAAGCAATCCAAAAATAGCATTTGCTTTCTCGGGCCAAGGCAGCCTCTACTCCGGCATTGGAAGACAATTATTTGAGTCCCATCCTGGCTTTAAGGCGAATATACTCCGTTTTGATTGCATAGCACAGCAGCAGGGATTTCCAAGCTTTTTGCCTGTAGTTGATGGCACTGCTTCAGATGTAGATGGTGTCGAGACTGTCGCAGCTCACCTTGCCCTCAGCTGCATACAAATGGCAATTTGTCGCCTTTGGATCTCATGGGGTGTTCAACCGAATTTAACAATTGGCCACAGCCTAGGAGAATATGCCGCCCTACAAGCTGCAGGTGTTTTAACACCCAGCGATGTCATATATCTAGTCGGTACTAGAGCCCAGCTATTGTCAAGCCACTGTCGCCGAGGAACCCACACCATGTTGTCTATAAAGGCATCGTCAGATGATATTAAACCCTGCTTGGTAGAATCAGCTTGTGAAATAGCCTGTATTAACCAGCCTACAAATAATGTGATTAGCGGACCGAGCGAGGAGGTAAACCGTTTAATGCTTTCGTTTCAATCGAAGGGTTATGAGTGCATCAAGCTTGATATCCCGTTCGCCTTTCATTCGGCCCAGGTGGATCCCATTCTAGAGGGATTTGAATCAGCAGCCGGGAGCATTCGTTATCAAATTCCATCATTACCGTATATATCGCCTTTACTCGGATTAGTTATTTCAGATGGGTGTACATTAAACGCATCATACGTCGCTCGGGCATGTCGAAGTGCAGTAAATTTCCAAGGAGCTCTGAAGTCAGCTGAAGAAGCCTCCCTTATTGATCACCAAACTATCTGGATCGAAATTGGATCACACCCTGCATGCTCTGGCATGATCAAAGGGACGATCGGTCCACAGTCGACGACAATTCCATCCTTGAAAAAAGATGTTGATACGTGGAAAGTCCTAACTAGAGGCCTCGAAACGCTATATCTCAACCGCGTTAACATAGAGTGGAATGAGTGGCAT